CTTGTACAGAAGTACAAGCCATAGTCACAAAAATGGAGAGAGGAACTAGGACCAAGCACTCCAATATGCAATTTCTGGAAATATACCTCTGCCCTACATCTATTGTGTCCTCTCTTTTTAGGAAAAAATTTGTGTTTTCAACGTCTTACAGCTCTGAAATTTTCCTTTACAGTTCTTTGTTGGTTCAATTTTTTGTCACTTGTAGGCTGTTGGTGATGATCATCCTAGATTTAAGTCTGTAATGAGATGGCGAGTTGGTCTGTGGCTTCTACCTTACAGTATAAGTGATACTAACACAGTGTGACTGAGATTGCTGCTGCCCCGAGCAATCAGGTGTGCAGAAATTGTACTAGGACATCCCCACAGAGATACCTGAAGGCATGGTGTAATCTGACAACAAAGGACTTTGAAATGACTTTGTCACTGTTGGACTCTGAAAACTCTGTATTTCTAAACGGTACCTCAGCCTGTAGTGAATTGCTGTGGGTTTGGCCCATAAACTTAAATGAATCTCACTTAGAACTACCAAAGCACTGAAACGCTATTGAAAAGTTCTGGCACACAGAGCTGAGTTTTGGAAATCAATGCAGTGATGTCAGTTGGACTTCTGCCACTGTTTTTGCTGTGGCCAACATTTAACTTCAGCTGTGTTACAAAGCAGAGCATGTTTGCAAAGTTGGTTCAGAAACTGCTTTCCTGCCATCCCTCATGCTATTCCAGGCTCAAACTAGTTCTAAACTTAGAATTCACTCAGTCACACGAAGGTTGATCTTGTGATAAAGGGCCTGATTAAAAGATCTCAGTTTAATTCCCAATTTGGACACGAATCTCCTGTATAAATTTGGAAGGTCAGTTACCCTCATTTTACAAATAAGAAACTGAGGCTAAGAGAGAGTAAGTTGAACTCTATTATACCGTGAGCTTTTCAGAGCATAATTGTGAAACTAAGTTTATGTGAAATGTAAGAAGACGGACATTTCAGAGTTGGTTGTTTGGGTTTTTTTAGGCCATTATCATAAGAAAACAGTAATAGTAGGAACATGTCTGGTCATCTGGATAATGAGGTCTCTTTTCTGTATTTACAGTAATAATGAAAACTTTTCAAATTACTTAACCAGATTAATATGTCATGTAGTGTCATGGCTTAACTACAACTGGCAATGAAGCACCACGCAGCCTCTCACTCCCACCAGTGGGATGGGGGAGAGAAGTGGAAGAGTAAAAGTAAGAAAACTCATGGGTTGAGATAAAGACAGTTTAATGGGTAAAGCAACAGCTGCACATGCAAACAAAGCAAAATGAGGAATTCTTTAACTCCTTCCCAGGGGCAGGCAGGTGTTCAGCCATCCCCAGGAAAGAAGGGGATGTAACAGTTACTGGGTAAGACAAATGGTGTCACTCAGAATGCTCCTCCCCTCCTCCTTCTTCTACCAGCTTTATGTACTAAGCATGATGCCATGTGGTGTGGAATATCCCTTTGGTCAGCTGTCCTGGCTGTGTCCTCTCCCAGCTTCTTGTGTGCCCGTGGCCTCCTTGCTGGCAGGGCAGTATTAGAAGCAGAAAAGGCCTTGATGCTGTGCAAGGGCCACTCAGCAATAACAAATTTTATATGTTATCAACACAATTTTCAGCACAAATCTAAAACGTGGTCTGTACTAACTATTATGAAGAAAATTAACTCTATCCCAGACAAAACCAATACTTATAGATAGATGTATTGGATTTGTGTGACAAGATTTTGGTAAGGGGGGCTACTGCAGGGGTGGCTTCTGTGAGAAGCTGCCAGAAGCTTCCCCCATGTCTGGTAGAGCCAATGCCACCTGGCTCCAAGATGGGCCCACCACCGGTCAAGGCCAAGCCCACCAGTGACAGTGTTAGCACCTCTGGGATAACACAGTTAAAGGGAAAAAGCTTGCTGCACAAGCAGAGAGAGGAGGGAGAATGAATATATGAGAGAAACAGCCCTGCAGACACCAGGGTCAGTGAAGCAGGAGGGGGAGGAGGTGCTCTAGGCAGAGATTCCCCTGCAGCCCATGGTGCAGACCCTGGTGAGGCAGCTGTGCCCCTGCAGCCCAGAGAGGGCCATGAGGATGCAGAGATACACCTGCAGCCCATGAAGGAGCCCATGCCAGAGTAGGGGAAGAATGTAAGTTCTCCTCCTATGGGGGAAGGAGCAATAGAGATGATGTGGTAAATGGACTACAATCCCCATTCCCCACTTGGTCCCACTGATGGGGAGGAGGTGGAGAATTTAGGAATGAAGTTGAACTAGGAAGAAGGGAGGGGTGTGGGGGAAGATGTTTTTTTGAGATTTGGGTCTATTTCTCATTACCCTACTCTGATTTGATTGGTAATAAATAATTTTTTTTTCCTCGAGTGTTTTGCCCATGATGGTAACAGGTGATTGATCTCTCCCTGTCCTTATCTCAACCCATGAGCCTTTCATTATATTTTCTCTATCCTGTCCAGCTGAGGAGAGGAGAGATAGAGCAGCTTTATTGGGCACTGACATCTAGCCAAGGTTAGCCCGCCATAACATATTGCTTGCCCATAATAAAAATTACAGTATTATAGAATAAGATCCAAAACTTTATTGTGATGATGTATTATGGGCAATGAGATTAATGCAAATAAACTGTATCAAGAATGAAATGTCAGAAGCCTCTATTAAAAATAGACAAATTCTACCAAATGAAAGAGTGTGCTCTCTTCCAGGGAGCTTTAAAAGAATGGCAGTGTAAAGATGATAACGTTTACTGTGTGTCAAATTAAATTAACAAAATTCTCTTTTTCAGGTCACATGAATCAAAAGGATGAAACAGACAAATGGATTAAGGCTGACACACAAAATGGCAAAGTATATCTTAAAAGCCAAAGCTGGATCCAGTCTGTCAAGCTGAAGAGTTCTTAATGGTGAAATAGGCCAAAGAGATTAAATCAAGAAATTGTAAAGGAACGTTTGTGTAAAATTATGAAACTTTGTTGATGTATATTCTTAATATAAGAGAGAAAGGATATTAAAAATGAGAGCGTTTTAATCCAAGATTTGCCTGTGACAGTGCTGATGCTAAACAGGTCTGGTTTACTTTTAGTGCCTTTTAGGAACAAGATGGTCTTACGTATTCAGAATTTATATAACTTGACCCACTTACCATGTCAGTTTAAAAGCTGGTAGGTTTCAAACAAAAGTTTGGAATTGTCATTTAAAAATAAAAAGCATTTTCAACACTTCTTATCTCCAGATACGAGAATTTACTTCCAAGTTGATGTAAGTTGCAAGCTTTGCAAGCTCTGTTACACTTTTAAATTAAATGTCTCAATAGTGTGGAAATTCTGTTGATTTATGCAAAATGCAGAGAATTTTCTTTAACCAAATTGTCTCTATTGTGAATAGGATAAAATCACTTTCAGAACTGTATTTCTTCTGTGGTCTTCTCACTTGGCGTTTGAACCCTAAGTAGTTTCTGCCTTGTCAGTGGATACTCTGTGTCAAACTATTGCTGTGAAATGGCAAAACTTGCTCCATGTCTTCTTGAACTGCTTGTTTCTGGATAGGAATAAGAGCTCTAGCTATGTCTACAGCTGATCATCTGCAAAGAAAAGCTTTTAAAGTAAATAGAAGTGTAATGGATCTGTCTGATTTCAAGGAGGAACACTCCCCCAACTGGACTTCAGGTGAGAGTCCACATGAACATTCCTCTGAAGTAAAAGCTGCCATAGAATGGAAGCGTTGACTTGGTAACTGAGAACTGTAATCTGTTTCCAGTGACTTTCAGCCCCATCCTTTGAAGCAGGAAGGGAGAGGAGGGAGGTGAGGGAAGGAGGTAGGCCTTGCACAAGGGCAGACATGATTTTTGTGAAGGATTTTGTGTTACTGTAACAGAAACACACAGTAAAGTAAATGGAGCTTTTAAAAGCCTTTCTATTCATCTATATGACACCTTATAAAAGAAGTACTGACATCTGTGTTTTAAAGCTGAAATGTAAGAATCTCTGCCAACCGAGTGGATGGAGAGTAGCAGAGGAGAGTTCAGACTGTCAGCTCTGGTTGTAGGTTGTGTGTGTGTGCTTTAGATCATAATGGTACATTATGAGATGAACTTCTTTGCCACGCGATCCCCCAGAAGGTATAATTGTCCCTGGCTAATGGACTTCAGTAGTCAAGGGCAGCGTTTTTACTGTAACTTAGGGTGGTTAAAAACTCCACATTCTTTTTGCTGTTGTGTGTACTGTTTGTTGAGATGAAGTGGGCACTGATGTTTATGATAAGTTATATGTATTTTTAATATAAACACTAATATATAAAACACTTCTAATAGTATTACTAAATGCATTACAATATTACTAGTTATTATTATACTTTTAAAAGGTACAATATTAATAAATCTGTAATGGGTTTGGATATTCAGAAAAATTTTTGAAACTAATGATTTCTATGCTGGAGCCAAAGTGAAAGAAGCACCTTAAAATTCATACCACATGGAAACATAAAAACAGTCTAATAGATATTTCAGAAGACCAAGTCCATTTAATGTTCCCGTTATTCACACAGAGTACAAAGCCTGTCACCCTCTGAGATTAAGGTTGTACTTTTTGGGACTGCTGCATCAGCAATATAAGGAAGAACATAGTAACAAAACATGTTATTTGTTCTACGTTCAAATGAAAGCAAGCTAAAGGCATTCATATTCCAAAACTAGCAGGACTTAAACATCAGGATTGTTTAAGTTTAAAGAAGTTTAAGTAAGCCAGCAGAAAAATTGTGCTACCACTAAAGCTAATTATTATATTCTTTCAAAGCTAGTAAATGTTGAGACAAGCTAGAACCTTAATATAAAGGTCAAAAATGAGCTGAAGAAGGACAAATCCTTGGGAGTTTCCCAAAAAACATTAAGTAATGTCTTGTTCTGCTGTAATGAGGTGAAACTATATTTTTCTGTAGACAAGTGAAGATTATTAGGTTATCAGTAATTAGAATTTGAATGGCAAATCCCATGTGTGCTTTTTTTTTTGCTCTTCCATTTGATGAAAAGACGTGTTCTAGTAACAGGAGAAAATTTATCCTTTTAACATTTTTCTTATCTGTGCTCTTTTTAATTTTTTTCTCCTGATCTGTCAGCTGCCAGCCAGCTCACAGTTCAGATCTGCAGCTTGCTTAGAGACAAGCTCAGCCCAAGAGGGTTTTATGAGAATGAGGGCTCTGGGTGCACAAGTGGCTGTTGAGAAGTGGAGAACTGTGCTTAAATGTACATGTATAGTTGCATATTAAAGAATCAGCAGTCACTACCTACTCCCTGTTCTCAGTTACTCAAGAATGCTGTACTTGATGAGTCCCAGCCGTGTCAAGTGTGAAGTTCTGTGGGGAGTCAGAGTGCTAATGGCGTGGAGAGGACTTTCATGGCACACAAGAACCCCAAACACATGAGGATTTATTTATTGCTTACCCTGCATGGGACTACAAAAACTTTCATTATCGAAAGATGAAGACAGCTTGAATCAACATCTGAGGGTTAGGAGTGCTGTCTGAGTGCAGCTGTCTTGCTTGGAGGCATTTGCACTCCCATGAGAAAGATTCGCAATGCTTCCTTACTAATGCAACAAATGGCCTTTTATTAAAGTGTGATTAGTTTTAAGAAAAAATAATACAGTGTTCTTTTCGTGCTCTAGAGAAAAACTCTTGAAGTGTAGAAGATTTTGTGCAATTTCTTCATTTTTCATTTGAAGAATTTGTTTATTCAGGCTCTGATCTGTGTTTTTTTGTGAAGGTGGTTATATTACCATCCCAGTCATATCCAAATCAGCATCATTATATTCATGTTTCTCTCAAGACAGCTTGTCTGCAACAAGGGTTTTAAAATAATAATGACAAAAGAAACATTTCCAGAGGCTGTTTCTACAAAGAACCCTAAAAGCAGTTTAATGAGAAAAAGTTCCTTTTTTTTAACTGAAGCTATCAATATTATAAGAGCTATGTGGAAACTTAAACAGAAGATAATTTTTTAGACCATAGAGTCACAGAAGAAATTAGGTTGGAGGAGGTCGCTGGAGATCATTTAATCCCGGTCTTGATTTAAATGGATCCAACTAGACAAGGGGGTTATGGCTTTGCCAGATGAGTTCTGAGTATCTGTAGGGTTGAAGGTTGCACAGCCTCTGAGATCCTGTTGAAGGGTTTGACCAGCCTCCTGATTAAAAAATTAGTTTTGTTGTAGTCAGAATTTTATGTATGCCACTTGTCCTGTCAGTGCACCTTTGAGAATGGTCTGGCTATGTCTTGTCTTCTGTATCCTCTGATCAGAATTAGAGACAGCAAATAAGGTCTCCTCCATCTTGAACCTTCTCTTGTGACTTAGCAAAGCAATTTTCTGAAGACTCTTCACAAGTCATGTGCTCCAGCCCTTTAATGGTCCTGGTGGGCTTCATCCACGCTTGCTCTAGTGTGCCAGTGTCTGCCTAAACACAGATCTGAGTAGGAAAGGCCATTGGAATGACAGCATTGTGTTTGGATGAAAACAACACCAAACAAGATAAAGAAAACAACTACATCAGAAGGTATCACAGCACCTCCAGAGTGATTTTTTGTAGCTCTATAGAAAGGCTAAAGTAAGTGTGCAGGTCCTTCTCTCTGTTTTTCTATTTGAACAGTGTCTTTAACACCTCCAAGTATTTTTACCCTTTCCTCCTTCGCCCTCTGCTTTCTTTTTGGCCATCCTCTCCATTGTAGTTATTTTCTGTCACCCACCTCTTGTGAAGTGTAGCTGAACCAGAAAAGAGTTATCTGTGATGTCTAAAACTACCCATGACCCTTCAGATCTCCCTCAACATTTTGTGGCCACTGCCTCTTAACAGCATTAGAACACAAAAGCAACAAACTACATCAAAATAGAAGAAAATCAGGCCTCCTATGTGAGACACCCTAAAAAGAATTTGAAGGGCAACTCTCTCCTCTCCCTCCTTTCCCAGCAGTATCAGTCCAGCAACTTTCATTACCTTCGAAGCTGAAGAAACTCAACCCGCCACTTTCAGTCTTTTGAACATCTCTCTGTTTCCATCCCTTCTGTGACCTGGCTGCCAGCCCACTCCTGGCTCCACACCCACCTCCCCCACTGCTGCTTCTGCACTCCAGAAACCTCCCGTGGGCTGAGCGTGCTCTTGTGCTCCTTGAGGAAGAGCCAACTCTCTACATCTCCTCTTCAGGAGATTCAACCAGATCTGGTGTGTCACAGCCACAGCAAGGCAGTCTTCCTCCCTGCTGGCCAATTCCTAAGCTCTGTAATGATACAGTATACAGCTTCTAGACTATACTAGAAAAAAATCCAAATTAAAGTGCTGTGTTATCTGCCAATAGCGCTACTACAGTGTTTTTTCTTTCTTTTTTTTTCCTAAGGTGGAAATGCTGAGATGGTTACAAAAGAGGCAGACGTGCCCAGCTGTAATACTGGCACCACCACAGCAGGAAATAGGAAGTGGGCAGGAGTGGAAAAGGGACAAAATTAGTGAAGCAAGGAGAGGTCCTTTTCAGCCACTGCAGGATACTTTTTTTTAAATATCCAACACTGACACACTGTATAAACCACATGAACACAAGGCTGCATCTGTTTTTATATTAGGGAGGCCTGTGCCATGGAGGAATGTGTGCACAACTTATATGAGCTATAAGCTCTGAGCTATAAAACAAAAATCAACTCATCTAAGTCCAAATTCCTGTTTTTCATGGAAACTGCAATGTATGGTGGCTGTCTGAAGCATGTATAAGGGGAGCTGTTACTATTTTTTTTGAAATTTATGATGTCTGATGCCTGGACCTGCAGTTGAGTGGTTTGCCAGAAACAGCCATTCATTAATCAACACATGGCAAAAAAGATTGTTTATTTAAGATATACTGTACTATGATAGAGCCTGCTTATTTATTTATATAGTGCCTTAAATGAACACATTGATGACTAAAAGCATTTCAGGAAATAATTGCAATTATCTTTGGCAAAACAACTATCTCCTGGTATAAGTGAGACAAAAGTACTGGCCCAAACACACAGCTTGAGCAGCACTGGAATACGTAATTGCATCCTTTTCCAAAGTTTCAATCATTTTTACTGAGAAGGGGTAGGAAATACAGTTCTGCATCATGGTCTGAATCCTTTCCATTCCAAAATTCAGCAATGTTTGACTGGGTCCATCATAATAAAAAGCAGAGGTTTTGAAAAAGACTTTTTGAGATGAGGTTACAGAAACCAATCAAGAGTAAAAAATAATGGAAAATAAAACCTTAAAAATGGGAGAACTGTTTATAGTGCAAGTGCAGGAGAAATCAAGCGAAAGAGGCAAGTGGAGGCAGGCAGCTAATGGGAAAAGCAGGAAGCATCCTGCATGCATGCTCCAGGTTACCAAAGGTGATAAGACTACATTGAATCCAAAGTATTCTGAGGCCTATGTCAGCTGCAGTAGTTTTATCATTTTATGGGATCCAGTTCATGTGCACATGATGGCTGAAACATGGCACTCCAGGAGCCTCTGTGCCTCTTCCAAGGAGCAATTTACAGTCTGTGAGAAGACAGTACTTTATTTTTGTTGCTTCTTAAAAGAAAACTTAGGAGTAATTATTGTTAGTCATGTGTAGGTTGTCTTCATTTCCAGTTACATGTGTGTTGGACTCCCAGATCCTTCCTGCCTTGAGACCTGCATATTTGGATAATACCTAAGAAATTCTGCTTTTTCAGGAAAAAAGAGTTCTTGCAATCTCCTTTCCAGCCAACAGCAACCATCAGAAAACACAAAAACAACAAAACCAAACAAAAATCAGAATGTTCTCCAAATGTCAAATGTATTGTGGCTGTTAAGACCCAATGTAATTTTTCTTCAAAAGGCAAAAATTTTAATAGTGTAGTCATAATTTTAGGAGAAACGTAACCAGTTTTATATCAGTGCATACAAGAAAGAAGGAAACATTTAATTTTGCTCTTAAAGATCTTTCGGTGGAACAAAACTGTTACAGATGAGATGCAGTTTGGGGAGAGCAGAAGAGTGGCTGGCTTCTGTTGTCAATGAGATCTTTCTCATTTTGCATCTAGAAATGGTAACACAGAATGTTTTACAGTGAAGTGTTTCTCTGAAGATGCTGCTGTGTTATTTCCTGTAGGATTAGTCCTAAGCAAATCACAACTGACACAACTTTTTCGTACAGAGGCTATGCTTTAGAGAGTGGTTAGCTTTCTTTTTCTCCAGTAGAAGAAATAAACTGTACCAGTACTATATTCTCCCACGATAGATTATCCATGATTCTTTCTGGTATTTAGAAACAGGATTAATTGACAGGTCATTAGCTTCTGGACACAGAAATATGCAGCAGGATACCAGGCCACGGACCTTTTCTTTCTTCTAACATTTATTAGACCTGGAACCAGGGCAGTATGTCGGCAAATATGACCTCGATTGCTGCCTGATACTGGAAAGAATGGACAATTTATACACTCGTAACTGTTTCCTATGAAGCTATGTTGGACTGAAACTTGAAGAACTTTGTGGCTCCACATGTTTTCTATTTTAATCCATCAAAACAGTAAAAATCAAAAAAACTTTGAAAAATAATGTGACGATACAAGAGATGTGATTCAATATTTGAAAGGTTTAGTCTATTAAGAGATGTCTGCTAGGACTGGTTAGTGTTTAACAATAAATAATGGGGAGTTCCTTTGGCACAGTGAAGTATACAGGATCCATAGATATTTTAGGGCAACTTTAAACTAAAAACATATTTCTTCTATTGCTTATTTAGAACCTAAGCCACTAGCATGTTTAGTTCTCCAGCTGAATCTGATTTTTACATAGATGACCTCTTCCATCTCTTTAAACAGGGAATGAAATGTTTCTGCAGTGTAGGTTTCACACATGCAGAATGTAAATTAGACCTGAAACCAGCCTTTACATCCTGTGAAAATCTAAGAACCTGAATGAGGTTTTAGAGTTAGTTTGCAACAGAGAATGAGGCCCCATTGTTTATTTTCTTGACAACCTGTTGCTTATTATTCCTTACAAAAAACATAGAGGTTGTGACTGAAACACATAGTTTTATAGAAATATGTTGTGACAGTGACAATACTGTCATTGCTTTTGATGTCATTGGAGATACTGCAAGATAACTAACTCTAGAATCATGCCATATTTTACTGTGCTTTTGATGTAGTTATTGGCAAAAGATAAATTTTTTATCATTTTTGCCATATTGGCCTTAAACTGCAATAAAAAAAGATTTTGCTAAAGTGGGAAACATGCAGGATGTGGAATATATGTGAATCTAGCTGTGAACTCCCTTTTATCGTCTCAATATCATTTTATGTGGATGTGGTCAGTCTAAGTCTATTCTGTGGCCTGGCAGGGTCTAGGGAGGGTCTTTGGACCTGTTGGAAGGAACAAGCAAAAAATATCCAGTGCTGAATTAATCTGCATGATTGATCCATCTGATAGTTTTTGTCCCAGACTCAGGAATTTCCTATCACAGAACATATGGTGCAAAGGATTAGAGGCTGAGGCTGGCAAAGAAAAGGACCATCCACTGTCCAGAAAATCAGGCTCGAAAAAGTAAAATTGGCAAAGTTTGCCTAGTTCTAAAAATCACAAAAAGGGCAAAGATAACACTGGGCGGAGATGTGTCTCATGGTTGCTTTTTTGTTTTGCAAAGATCTATAACTCTCCAGGGTTTTCTTTACAGTAAAAATAACTGGTTGAGAAATTCCTTGGCTGAGTCAGAGGAGTTTAATCAAGACGCTTGGAGAACCCATAACATATGGGACTCTGAGGCAGAGGCACAATCCTCGGTCATCCAGGCTGCAACAACGCACATAAGTCGTGTCAGGTCTTTGATCGTGGCTGACCCAACACAAGTTGGAATTCACACAAATTTCTGTTCCTATTACATCTCACCTCGACGGGAAGATGGATAAGCAACCAAGGCCTGAGAGGGCTGAAACAGTGCAGTGTTGCTGCTCTAAAGAGTGATGTGAAGTCACAGAATAAACAAGTCAACAACAGTAATCTGATGATAAAAGAAAATCCCTTGAGGTTTAGTATGAGAAAAACTGTAAATCATAAAGCTATGAAGAGATTAAATGAATCTGAATTAATTTAGGTTGTTTTTTTCAATTACTACTCTCACATACCAATCCTTCAAAGCACTTTCTGTATCTAACAAGCATTTAATTCGAAGTAGAGGTTTTAAGAAGGAAGTTCTGAGATGACATTGAGAAAACTAAGTTGGAGAGAAGTGAATATAAGAGCAATGACAGCAGAATTCTTTGTGGTTAGACATGGAAATAACAGAGGGGTGTTTGGAAAGTGTGAAGCTCACTGGAAATATCTTTGAAGTTATTAGGCATTTACATTGGTCTTGTGGTCTCTAAAGTGACTATTAAACCCTGGAATGGTTTAGCAGGGAGTGCACTACCTACCATGGTCCTGTTAAAGTGGGGTTAGAGCTCTCCTAGTATGGACTCTCCATATAAGATGGTATTATATATTTCTTAGCCTCATAAATTTTGATTAAGTTGTATACTCAGATATATCAACCATGTCTAAACTTTAATTCCTGTCCAGTTTCAAGCCCTGTGGCGTGTCTGGCCACTGTACCTGGTCTGTGATGCTCTTAACCCCCATGGAAGGATGGTGTTCATTGAAGCTACAACTTTTGAGACTCACAGGTGAAAAATCAACTGCAAACTCAGCTCTCTCAGTTTTCAAGAAGGGTAAGAAGGGAGACCCCAGCAATTACAGGCCCTCCGGTCTCACTTCAGTGCCTGGTAAATTATCCAGAAGGTTATTCTGGAAGTTATTGAAGAACATTTGAGAGACAATGCAGTCACTGGGCATAGCCAGCATGGGTTCATGAGGGGAAGGTCCTGCCGAACCAACTTAATTTCATTTTATGACAAAGTCATCCATCTAGTTGATCAAGGGAAGCCAGTAGATGTGGTGGGTTTCGATTTGGCAGCCAGTCACCAGTGGGGTTCCCCAGTGCTCAATTTCAGGGCCAGTACTTTTCTAATGTTTTTATAAATTATCTGGAGGCAGGAATCAAATGTAAAGTTTACCAGTGATACTAAATGAGAGTCCTTTGAGGGTAGAGAGGCCTTACAGAGAGATCTCCATAGATAGGAGAGCTGGGCAATCACCAGCTGTATGAAACTGAACAAGAGCAAGTGCTGGGTTCTCCACCTGGGATGGGAGAATCCTGGTTACACATACAAACTGGGAGATGAAAGGCTGGAGAGCAGCCCTTCAGAGAGGGGTCTGGGAGTTTGGGTTGATGGCAAGTTCAATATGAGTCAGCAGTGCCCTGGCAGCCAGGAGGGCCAACCATGTCCGGGGGGCATCAGGTGCAGCATCACCAGCCGGATGAGGGAGGGGATTGTCCCGCTCTGCTCGGCACTGGGGCGACCTCACCTTGAGTATTGTGAACACCACAACATAAAGAGAATAGAGAGCTATTAGAGAGCATCCAGAGGAAGGTGACCAAGATGGTGAAATGTCTTGAGGACAAGACTTACAAGGAGCAGTTGAGGTCACTTGGAGAAGGGAAGGCTGAGGGGTGACCTCATGACAACTCATCTACAACCTCTTCAAGGGTGGGTAGTGGAGGGGGAGGTGCTGATCCCCTCCTCTGCTGACCAGTGATAAAGCACAAGCTGTGTCAGGGGAAGTTCAGACTGGACTTCAGGAAAAGGTTCTTCCCTAAGAGGTCTGTCACTGCAACAGGCTCCCTGGGACAGTGGTCACGGCACCATACCTTGACTCATCCTCTATAACTATCCTGTGTTTTGAGCACAGGCCCACACCTACTTCTGCCATATACTGACGTTCAGTCACTGGGAAACAGGCTCCCACAAACTCTTGGAGTGAGCTGAAGTACATAATGTGATGGCTGAGAGCATTAGGCCCCATCTAGTTTCCTCCTTCATATTCTCGTGTCCCCTTGATATCCTGTGTCTGCAGAAACTTCCCTAAATGGACATTGTCTGCCATAAAGATAGATGAGGTCTGTATTTCTCTTCACTTTCTTCACTTCTGGCTGACACTAGACTATTCCCACCAGACCACAGGAATCCTAAGGCACCAGTGTGGACACCCCCTAGTTAAAGAAGCAAGTTTTGGGGTTTACAACCACCTCTGAATTAAGATTAGGAAAATCTTCATCCTCTTGGTAATATTTCTACAGTACAACCTTCCCGAAGACATTTCAGTGTTTTGTCAGTAAGATGAATGCAACTGGAGACATCCAAGAAGTAAAGACAATGACAGGCTGCAGCCAAATACTGAATACGTGTATCAGTCATCTGTAAATGAAGCAACAAGACACGCAGAAGTTAGAAGATTATTGAACAGCTGAAAGAAAAAACACTGAGCACAACATTAGTGCCTGATTTGTGGGAAAACTATATTTTAAAATGGAAGTAAAGTTTCTGGCACAGCAAAATTCTTGAGTCTCTGCAAGAGGCTCCACAGAAACTGTCACTTTCTAATATTAGAGATTAGTTAACTGTGATTCTAGTCTAGTCTAAAGTATTGTGGGATTTTTTCACCTACTGAGGATGGTTTAACTTTCCCAACCATATATGTCCATGTAGCACATAGAAACCTTTAGCATTACCTGATATTGCATTGCTCTCACTGAACTATTAGGATGCATTTGTATCAGGTTTTTTATCTCAGTTCTCTGTTACAAATTGGTGTCTCACACCAAGACCTTTTGAATGTCTAGTGGGGGTTTTTAGCTCTGAAGCACAGCTGCTTAGTTTCACCTCACAACTCTATTTTTCAGGAACTTGCCATTAATGCTGGAAGTTGCATTTGAGAAAAATATGACACATAGAGTCTTCAAGGTACATAAACAGCCATGCAAGCTAGTAATTGCTCCATTGACCTCAACGGGAACAGTCAAGAATACATTATGCAATACTTTAATTACCTTGTTCATTCAGGACTAGAAATCAAGAGGGAACATAGTAAAAACCTTTTAAAGATATTTGATTAAAATCACTGGAGCAGGATGGTGGAAAGAGATGAGGGTTTTACTTATATTAAAGAGCCAATCTCATGAGAATCTAAAAGGGACAAGGAGGCAAGATGAAAACGGGACCTTGGGTTGTGGAACAAATGCACGCTACCTCCTGGTATATAGAGGAATGTGTATGTGCTTTGCTTATTCCAGATTTATTTATATGCTCAATATTAAGATCTGTAATAGATTAATAAATAGATTAAAATATCATTAAGTAGTTTAATATTCCTATTGAAATAAAAAGAAGTCATTGGCTCTGTAGTCAGTAATTGGTATCAGATGCATTTAGAGAAATCTTCATTCGTCATACACTCGATCTATTATTCCCTTTAGAGGACTGAATTACAGAATTCATTGTTCATTGAACTGTGTCTTCAGAACTTTGCTATTTAAATAGCCAATTCATTTAACCAGAGATTTATTTTCAGTTCTTGCTGTATATTTTCACGTGTAGGATATGTTTCCCACAGCAACTTCATTTTTTCCCTATGAAATAAGAATTACCGTTGAATCAGGTTCATTCCCTGAATAAGACTCAGAACAACACTGCTGAATATTTTATAGAATCAGCATTTGCAAAATGACTTGTACCTGCCCTAGGTGTACAGAAGCATGACAGGAAGGCTCACTGTACGTTCACTGAAGTCACTGGTGTCCACTGAAAGACAACTGCTCCCAAAAGATACGATTAAAGTGATAAGGTCTTCTAATTTTAGCGTAACCTGCATAACACATCCAAAACATTCTTAGTGTACATGTATTTCTATATTAATTTTTTCCCATGTTCTCTTTCTATGAATTTTTTAAAAATTCATTTTCTTGAATATAATATATTCTGATGTTGCAGGACACATTAACATATACCCTTTGGAACACGTTCATTCTGATTTTAATCTCCTGACCCTTTTTAAACAGTCTCTGAGTGGAAAATATTTCCCTACTTAGCAGCTGGATACCCTCAATTTACACTACAGATTGCCAAAGGATTTGTAAGACCCATTAGCTTTAACATCCACAAGTGTACCCATTTCGTTTTATGGAGCTGCAAGATGGATTCAAGTCAAAAAAGGACTTGTAAACCTATGTGTAGGTTTATTTGGAAGAGTCTTGATGTTCTTTTCTGAAAATAGGGTATTAGCATTTAACAGATTGGCTTTATAACTGTTTAAAGAAAAGATACTATCTAGGAACAAAGTGTTGGAAGGGGATTACAGGGTCACTGAGTCGACTCATTGTTCCCATTTGCAGGAACTACAAAATATGACCCAGTTCACTCTCTTACCAGGAGCCATACTGACATGCCTTAAGAGTTCGCCCCTGCCTCCTTTCCTGGGATGCTGTTTCACAATTCACTGCTGTGATAATCAGAAAATCTGCCAATTGCCAACCTAAATGTGTTTACTGACTTTTTATGGTGTATACTTTTTTGGGTTTCCTTTGTTGGTATATAACATATAGTGGGAAGCACAGCAGAGAAGACTGATTGCAACATTACCTAACTTCAACTACTCTGGGAAGATCTCCATGCACAACTTCCATTACCACTGTCATTGTGGAAAAACAGCTCAATATCTATCTAAAAGCAAAGGACACAGGAGATGGAGACCCGTCTATATAGTAATTAATGGTGTACAATAGGTATCTCAGAGAATAAACCGAGGGCTATTGTAAGATACAGAGGCCTGTTGGATCTGAAACACAGTCAGTGGGTTTTGACCTAGAGGCTGAGAAACTTATGCATATTTGGGAGGCACACAACTTGATCAAAGAATATCTATAATTTAGGACTGGCTAATTAGTCAGCCAAGTAGACTACAAGTGGTCTCAAACTAGTTGCCCAGGAGGCTGTGTTCAACCACTGCAGGGAATGAGAGGATGTGAGGGCTGTGTGGAGCACTGAAAGGATAGCCAAGAGTTACAGAGATGGGTGTTGGAGAGGAGGAAGGCAGAGACAAGCGATGGCTGCAGACTTTGGGGAAGAAAACAGGACATGGGGGCTTCAGTGGGAAAAAAAGGGAGAAACTGGTCCAGTGAGTGGTGAGATTTTAAAGGATAGTTCAAGATTAACATTTCCAAAAGTAGTAATAAACTTGTCTATTCCCACTTGCTGGTGATGGAAGTAACATGACAACTTCTTCCACGAAATTAAAAAACCTTAAATCTGCATTTTTAAAATTGCATTTGCATGCTTATTGTCAGAATGCAGCAAATATTTTGTTTTGCTGTTAAAGAAAATAATTAAACCCACTGAAACAATTAATGATATGAAAGCCAGAGCTTTTAATTCAAAGTACAGGGAAGACATATAGACCTTCATAATAGCAATAATTTTGAAAGGGAACACACATACAGGAAAAAGATAACTGAGATGCAAGGCTTGAATCAAAAAGAAATGATACAGAAAATACAGGAGGCAAAAATGTTGAAGTTGTAAGCTCACAGTAAAGAGGAACTAAGTTTCAATATAGATGAATCTTAATCTAAATAAATTAATGGCTATAAATAATTGTAATTTTTTTCAGATATCTAGACATCCTGAATGAAAATGAGAAGCTTTCCTGAAGAGATGCTAGTTAATTGAATATGGCTGAAACTACACATGGTTTTATTGGCAATAAATACCTACTAAACAGTGCACTTCATCAGACTCCCCAGCACATTTGTGACAGTGGGAACCACTAGAAAAACTGTCACATGAACTTGGATATTAAGGGAATATTCATATAGCCCTGGTATAACTATTACTCTAAGTTTCCTTTTAGTACTCAACAGAGATGGGGTTTCTCAAAGAACTGAGGAAAGGTTCCCTGACTGATGCTTTGTAGAAACACTTCTTTCCACTGACTATAAAAAAACAGGCTCCCTTCCATAGGTAGAAGTTATCCAAATACCTCATAAATTTTATTTTCCAAAGGACTTAGTTTCTTAGGCTTAGAATCTTCAAAATCATTAAGCATAAAGTTACACCTCTGAGTGCATCAGGTTTTAGGCACCTCTGCTATTTCAAAGTAGCCACTTGCCCTTCCATGTACAGCCACAGGTATTAAGTTCTATTGCCCGAGTTAATGCTTTACCTGGGCTCAGAAAGAGCACAGGAAAAAATAAAGCATGAAAATACCAAGAGATATTAAAGCAAAACCACTACTCTTTGGAAGCATTCAAAACCCTGAGAGAATATTTGCAGGGAGTATCACTAAAAGCCCTTCTTCCTTTACCCTTCCCTAGATATCAACCCCTAGAGAGACAAACTTTTATCTGATAAGGAATGGACACCTTTATATTTTAACTGCAACCATTAGTAGAATGCCAAACCCTCTCAAGAGCTAAGTCTCAAAACTTAAAACTCGTGGAAAAGCAGCTGAACAATGCCAGCAGGTCAAATTTCTGAATGAAATAGTGAGTAATTCTTTGCAATAGCAATCCCAGAACTATCTCCTGTTTCTTATACATACCTTTGGGCAACCCGCTATGTTGCCAGATGTTAGTTTGTGGCAGTGAAATGCCGTTGCTATCACAGCTTCATCTGTCAGCTGAGGGCAGTAAGAGACATGGCAGGGTTACAGGTATTTTGTGACCTTGCAGAACTCAATTACAACACATGTACATCAGCCCTTGGATCCACTTCGGGCACTTCAGTTCTCCAGGTACCCTTTACTAGTAGTGAAGTCATTCAGCTGTTGGCTGCAAATGTCACTAGTAAAAGAAGAGGTGTATTAAGGGGCTATTTTCCATTGCTTATATATTGTACTTTGAGATTTTTTTTTTTTTAATGAACAAAAATATGTATAAATTACATTATTTTCTTGGAAAGAAATGGGTAAGAACTTCAGGACTGTCACTTACAAGTTCTGGGTTCTAATACGCTCTGTGGAGTTCAGGACAGTTAACTGTGATACTGCTTGACTACAATTTCTATCCTCCTTTTTAGAGTGAATAAACATCTGCAGATCCTACTGACTCCAATTTCAGCACCTTTATAACTCAGATAGCTTTTTCATATGCCCTGTAAAACAGATAGTTTTGGAAAATAACAAACTCTCGTGAGAGGTCACAGAGATTCTTAAAATACACTTTTCTCCTTTGCACTCTAAAACTTTTCTACCTTCTGGCCTGCATCTTTATGAAGCCTGAAATTAATCACTTCTAGGCCTACAAAGGGAAGAAGGTAGACCTTCTCTTGAAACCTTTTCTGTAAACATTCTCTTGAAGAGAGATACCTAAAATCATATTTCTTTACCCAACAGCCCCATGATTTGAGCATCACAGAACATTCCGCAGCTCTACCAAAGCTTTGGCTTCAGTGAGAGTCTCTCCTCTTCTGTGATGTTCAGCTTAAAACCGTGGTGAGATATTTGTCACTGAGTTATCTTCCAGGCCTGCTAATCTTGGCCTAAGGCTAGTGTAATTTGTCATTTACTGGAATGCAATTCTAACTCTATAAGGGAAAGAAGGAAATACTTATATAGCAGATTGAATAAAAACCGTGAAGCTTTTCAAAGCTTTCAAGACTTAGTCCTGAGGTAAACAGATTAAGGATCACATGGATAAATAACACATGCACACACAGAGAGGCACAAAAATGCATTTACTTATCATGGACAAATATTACATATTTATCATTCTGAAAAAAAACTCTGCAATAATCAGACTATTGCCACTAACACACAGCTATTTTTGTCTTACATAAAACAGGAACTCGCACATTAACATAGCATTGATTACTGGAAAATTTTACCTTTGTTATGACAAAAAATTATGTGATTTTTGTCAGTCTCACAGAAACAGATGCAAAGAAACTTATCAAATCTGAAATTTGTATCACAAATGGAAATTTTAGAATTTTTGGCTGTATCCTCACTCCAGTTTCTTTTTTCTGTCCATCAGTACAGCTCTAGCAAGGCAGTGCTTCTTGGGCTTTGGGTTCTTGTCTTATTTTACAAAATACTAGAATGTCAAGTGTTTTAACTTAGGACTGGTTAGAGTGGACAATTCAGAATTCATATTCTGAATCGGCTTCTGTGCCCTTCCTATTTCAATCTTGGCTCTACAGGCTGTTTGTCACCTGTAACACAGAAACATTCTCAACTCAGCAACTGAATGTTTATTATCCATGTGCAAGAGAAACTGTACACCCTTCAGAATTAGGCCTCAGATGTGATGACTTAATCACTACATTCTCAGCTAGGGTATGTAACACGAGCTGAAGCCAAGATTTCAATGCCTATGAGATATGTTTATCTTATTTTTACTAGCATAGCTTGTCTACATACATATTTAAAATATCCTTCCAAGTTAGGTTCTGAATTTGCTCTTAACTCTTGAGTCTTCTCCTGCATTATTTTGCAAATAGCATTGGAATTATATTTGCAATCAAAGGAGATGGAGCTTTGTTTGCTCCCTTCATCTCTGTATCCCTGGTTCTAAGTCTATAAAGAAAATAGCAGAAGAGGTTGTGAAGGTAAATAAAGTTTGCAAAATCTTTAGACACTACAAAAAATCAAATGCCATATGAAGCAAACATAATTTTCTAACTTATTTGCACAATTTTAATTCTGTGTAAAGAAGGCCTGAGAACACACACAAACATCAATGAAAATATCAAATACTAAAGTGCTGCTCATTAAGTGAGCATCGCCTGAGCAAAGATCCTATTTACAATATATGGGATCACATAAGCATTTACATACTGTTATACTGCCTGGAAATAGGCAGTGGGATTATAATGGGATTACTGTCTACAAATTTTCCATAAACTCATATCCTTGCATTCAACTTACAAAAAAGAATTTGCCATTTTGTTTCGAGTTGCTTCATATCTCTTCTTCTTTCTCCTGTCCTCCCTGGATCCATGACAACATGGCTTCTGCTACTCCTACACATACTCCCTGCTGCTGCTTTCTTCCGCAGAAAGTTCAAATTCATATGGCAGACGAGGAAAGCATAAGCAATTTTTTTTTCACAATCGTTTTTGAACTTACTCTGTGTAATGAGAAAACTGAAATAGCTTCTTAGCCATAAGCACAGCACAACACACAACAAGTTAATATTCTCCTCTGAAAGCAGCAGCACTGGCACTACTCGACTTTCCATGAGGTACACAAGACGTACATACTTGGTCATTGTTAAAAACATGGAACTCTACATGGAACAGTCATGAAAGGCGAGTCAGAATTATTCCCAAAGAAGCAAATCCTAACGGCCTGACGTGTATGTTGAGTAGCAAGATTCAATCCAGATGCAGCCCTTGTGGTACAAAAACAAGTAACTCATTTTTACAATATATGGCTATAAAATGATGGATGTTGAAGATTTATAATGGAAAAAATGTAGAAGCTGAAAACTGGGATTATGTGATGGCATTGCCTGTACCTGCAGCCTTATGGTCTGCAACTGTTTATGGGCATGGAACTGATATAATTAAAAAACATTATTTAAGCATTTCTGTTACTTATGGTTAGGAATGATTCTCAGTTACAGAAAGTGCTCTTATTTGGATGTAAATCCTCTCTCCTTCCTAACAAGAGGGATGGCTCTTTTTACTATTGTAAAGTTACCAACTAGTGTTTATTTCTTATATTTTTCTGAAATACAAAGCAGTAAATCTATGCAATCATATTGAATTTGTCAAATCTCCATAAGGATTTTGGTAAACTACAAACAATCTGTGATAAGGACAAGGAATTTCACAGTTTTATACATTTTAGAAACAGTCATCTCTTTCTCTTCATTCTTAATTTTTGAACTGAGTTCATTTCATGCCCACTAAATTCTGTATGGAAGTAAACAGAAAAAAACTGACCTCTATCCACCCTTTTCATGCCACAATTGAATGGATCTCTGCTGTATGGAATTGCAGGAATGAAAGGGGAAAATAATTTTTGAGACTGTAGAAAGGTGTAACGAAGAATGAATGAGGATATGCAGAGCAAAATAAGATCAGTTTTGGACATGGTTAATTTGAAGAAATAGGGAGGCTTACAGGGAACACCGAAAAATAGGCGAAGTTTTACCGGAACCCCAGCATTACTGATGTTTTTGCATTGTGATGTAGAAAGTTCCAATATTATTCCAGGCCAGCCTAGGGCTCTCAAGCCCTAAAAAATTCCAGAAAAATTAATCTTAAAAATCAATACATGCAATTACATGTAATTACATTCAACATGTTAGGATGGTCAATACTGTCCACTGCCTGTATAGTAAAGTTTCTAAGAATTACAGCATTCTCTTCAGCAGAACACATATAGTTTATCCTCATATTTTTGAAGCATGTATAAGGTTCAAGAATTCTAAGCAGAAATAATTCAATTGAGAAAGGGAAAAAATTTTATTTTCCTACCTGCTGAAAAAGAAAGAGAGTGAAGTAGTGTGATGTGAAATACTTCCACCAAGGCTCTCATAAACATACATTTACAGATGCACTCCTCCAAAATTTGAGGTTGAAAGAATTTTTCATAATTGTTGTTTGGTTTTTTTTAGAAGAACAAAATACTATTTTCTAGAACCAAATAATGTCTTAAAATTGCTGTCTTACCATTAAGGGCTTTATAGCTACAGCTATGGCACAAGATAAGATTTGAAACAGTGCAGTCACACTCATAGGTGTACGAACAATGTCCATATTCAAGACAATAGAGAGGTGAAAACTTCAGTAAATTCCTATTTCAGGAGTGCAAAAAGATCCAAAGATGCTTTGTGATTTTTACTGCTTGTACACCAGGAAACAGGACAATATCTGATCCTAAATGCTCTAAACTGAAGGAGAATTGAATGTTGATTTTGTAAAATGTATTTTGATAGTCACAGCAGAATATCTCTGTACTTCATACCAATCAAGTAAACTTTACTGAAAACCAAAGTTATCACTTCACTCCACATGGTTAATAAATTATCTACAATTAGGCAGTGAATAGCACTGCCTAATTGTAGGCAGAGAGGAAGTATCAGCCTGAAAAAACAAGCACATGTAAATAGTGTCTGGAATCCAGATGTGGACACTGTAACGATAATGCTGAAGAGTGCGGCTGGAGTTCAAATTTTGCAAATTCCTGAAATCTCACAGGCTGAATAAAACCAAGTAATGGAACAAGGAGAGAGATTTCCAACCTTGGAAAATCCTACTTATGAAAACACATAAATTTGCATTTTCCTCAGCAGACACTGTTATGTAGTGAGCATTACTTTCAACAGCTTCATGAAAATCTACAGATTCCAAATTTTTGTTGACCAAAGCACTCCTATTCAAGACAATAAACCATTTATGTACTTAAACCCAAAACAGGTTTATGCCAGAACTTAAATTCCTTACAGCAGAGACTGATAGTGATAAGTGTGACCTTTAGGGACATAATTTCCTCTTGCATTTTTCTTTACTTGAAAGTGTTCCCACTTTAATGTACTTGCTAATGAAATACTAGAGAATATTATAAAGATTTTTTTTGTGACTTGACAACTAATGCTGTTACGCCTTCAAAGTTAATTTATAATAAATTTATATTATTAAAGTGACATTGAATCACAGAACAACTATTTTGTTCAATGAAAATCAAGGTCTCCTTTGAGGTATTTCATTAATAATTCCAGATTTAAGAACAGAAAGAGTGAAGACTTGGAAGCCAAGAAATGTCATTAGGAACCATCTATTACATAGAAAAACTATGAAATTTCTATGTTTCCAAAAAGAAAACTCTTCAAACAAGCTCTATGCAGGAAGTCTAATCTATATGACATTTTAAACTATTATTTTTGTATCTATCATACATGCAAAGGAGCCAATTATCACTAGTTTTATTAGACTTCCTGATTTATTCAGTAGTATTCCCTGATAAATAACATCAGGGATCCCCATCCAGAATACTGACCTAGTTCTAAAAACTTTCATCTTCTATACTAAGACTCCTGACATTTATGAAAGATATGGTTGGAGCTGTATTATCATTGGAACCCCTGGAAACAGATGCTGGCAAAACAAATATCGTGCAAAATAGAGAGTAGGATCATCCACTCTAGGATCACTGACTCTCCAAAAACATATTTCCTCTTTAACATAAAAAAATCCCCTCCTATATCTTGGATGAATCTTCTGTTGCCAAGGAGAAAAGGAAGACTTTTTCCAGCATCTCTTCTATAGCACATATTTTACCATTTCCATTTAGAAAACAAATTTAAAAGAAAATTCTTATTCCTCTGTAACAGCTGTGGGGTTTTTTTTCAATCAATTTTTACGTCTTTGTTCTGTTTTGTTTACTTTACTACATGAGGCCTGATCCTCTGAAGAATCCTTAGGGTTCTCCCTCAAGAAGAACAAGGACTGGTTTGATGAAAACAATCAAGAAATCCAGGACTTGTTGAGGAAGAAGAGAACTGCCCACCAAGCACACCTTGCACTGCCATCCTGTCACACAAGAAAAATAGCCTTTCGTCTTGCATGCAGCAAGCTTCAGCAGAAACTCCGTGACATCCAGAACAAGTGGTGGACCGATCTAGCTGCAAAAACTCAACTATGTGCAGATACAGGGGATCACAAAGGTTTCTATGAGGCCCTGAAAACAGCATATGGGCCTACGTACCAAGTCCAAAGCCCACTACTCAGTGCAGATGGTCAAACGCTTCTGACAGATCAAACCTCCATTCTGAATCGATGGTCTGAACACTTTCAGACTCTTTTCAGCACCAACCGTGTAGTACAAGACTCAGCAATTCAGTCCATCTCACAACAACCGGTGAAATTCGAATTGGATACTGCCCCCACTTTAGGAGAAACCCTCAAGGCCATACAGCAGGTGAAAATCGGTAAGGCAGCTGGGGTTGATGGAATTCCACCCGAAGTCTGGAAACATGGGGGCCTTGCACTCCATGCTAAATTTCATGAGCTTGTGGTGCGCTGTTGGGAACTAGGCGAACTACCTTCAGACCTTCGTGATGCAGTCATCATCACCTTGTATAAGAAGAAAGGTACTAAATCAGACTGCTCAAATTACCGTGGTATTACTCTGCTCTCCATTGCTGGCAAAATCTTGGCAAGAATACTCCTGAACAGACTAATACCCGCTATAGCAGAAGAAATTCTACCTGAAAGTCAGTGTGGCTTCAGAGCCAACAGGAGCACCACAGACATGATATTTGTTCTCAGACAACTGCAAGAGAAGTGTAGGGAACAGAACAAAGGTCTCTATGTAACCTTTGTCGACCTCACCAAGGCTTTCGATACTGTGAGCAGAAAAGGTCTTTGGCAGATTTTGGAACGTTTAGGTTGTCCCCCCAAGTTCCTTAAAATGATCATCTCACTTCATGAGGATCAGCATGGCCAAGTCAGATATGGCAACACACTTTCTGAGCCCTTTCTAATAAAGAATGGTGTGAAACAAGGCTGCGTTCTCGCTCCTACCCTATTCACAATCTTTTTCAGCATGATGCTCCAAAGGGCCTCGGCAGATCTCGATGATCAGGACGGTATCTACATTCGATATCGTACTGATGGAAGCCTATTCAACCTAAGGCGACTGAAGGCCCACACCAAGACCCTAAACCATCTTGTCCGGGAGCTGCTTTACGCTGATGACGCCGCCCTTGTTGCCCACACAGAAGCAGCTCTGCAGCATTTAACATCCTGCTTTGCAGATGCTGCTGAGCTCTTTGGGCTGGAAGTCAGCTTAAAGAAGACAGAAGTTCTCCATCAACCTGCACCTCAGGAAGTCCCCCATCATCCCCACATCACCATCGGCCAGTCAGAACTCAAATCAGTCCAACAGTTTAATTACTTAGGCAGCCTCATCTCCTCAGATGGTAAGATCGACGGGGAGATAGATAATAGGTTAGCGAAGGCATATAGTGCCTTTGGAAAACTCCATAAAAGAGTATGGCGTAATAAACACTTGAAGAAAAGTACCAAGATCAGTGTTTACAGAGCCATAGTGCTGTCTACTCTTTTATATGGTTCCGAATCATGGGTCATCTACCGCCACCACCTGCGTCTCCTAGAACGCTTCCATCAACGCTGCCTCCGTACAATCCTGAACATCCACTGGTCAGATTATGTGACCAATACATCTGTTCTAGAACAAGCAGCAATCACAAGTATTGAGGCCATGTTACTGAGAACACAGCTGCGATGGGCAGGGCACGTCTCCAGGATGAAGGACCACCGCCTCCCTAAGATCCTGCTCTATGGTGAACTTGCCTCCGGCTGCCGCAAGAGAGGAGCTCCGAAGAAAAGATACAAGGACTCCCTGAAGCAACAACTCAGCCTCGGGCATATTGATCACCATAACTGGTCTACTCTGGCCTCCAATCGGGAGGCCTGGAGACAGACCATTTATAACGCTGCTGATGCTTTTGAGAAGGCACGCAGGATCACTCTTGAGGAGAAAAGACAACGCAGAAAGAATCGAGCCTTGCAGAGTATACCATCTAAGGAGTCTTTCTGCTGTGTCTTTTGCAACCGGACGTGTCTGTCTCGTATTGGCCTTTTTAGCCACCAACGCGCTTGCATGAAAAATGGGTAGAGCCCTTCCCAAATCTTCGTTCGCGAAGCCTAGCCATGATGATGACTACATGAGGCCTACAAACAGTAGCAGAACATCATTTATTATTTCACCATGGTTTCTGCAGATGGGAAAATGGGTATTAACTGCACCAGTTGGTGAGGGTCTTCACTTGCTATAGACAAAAGTCACCTGCGGCTACAACATACCAAAGAACAGCTCTTCCTTATTTACATTCACAAGCTGCAAGTCTCTGCCTTTCTACTGTGGACTGCAATGAATGTACCATCTCTCACTAACAATAACCATGTGCTACTATTTTCAACTTCTTCTGAGATTTCTGTTCACATATCTCTTTGTAACCTTCAGGGTCAGCATCTGTAATGTATCTCTATGTTCCAGAGATATACAGATGTTACTTCCTGTTCATACTCCAAACCAAGTAGATTGACCCCAAAGTGACTCCAATATTGAAAGACAGCTCTTAGAAGGTATCTCCCACCTTCTATTTCTGAGCCATTTAGTACTAAATGACTCAGTTTATTCTCTAAAATGCTCAGATTTCTGCACAGATTAGCCACAGCCAGGCACCAGTTTCATGGATCCAACACTAGAAGAGAAGAATGTAATTCCTACCATGCAGATTCATTTTGCCATTAACAATACAAATGTGGCAGAACAAAGTTCAGTTTCACATAGCAAAAACCTCCTGGAAAATAGGTAAGTTCTCACACAAATGTATACCCTAACTATACTGTTTCCAATACTTGAGCTAATATAAAGGTGGGTCAGATCTGTTTACAGGAACTGTAGAGACAATTTTCCATTGCAGTGCAGAAATCCCACTGTATAACTTTGTGTACAACAAATGCCATAAAATTTAATTTCTGTATCCAATACCATTTGCTGTTAGAGCAGATCATAACTTACAAACTATGGTTGCCAATGTTTCTTGAGGCTAAGTCCAGACAACAGGGCTTCCATTGTAACAAAATGTCCTGTAAAAATATTGAGCCTGATTTTCAACATTGCTCAGTACTTTTAATTCCATCTGATTTGTATTGGGGCTCAAGGTGTTAGCACATCTGGCAATTACTCTCTTTGTTCTTAATTCCTATTTTTATGCAGAATTAAGTTTGTAAGTCTCCAAGTTTAAATCTCTCTTTCTCTATTCTCCCAAGTGATTTGGAGTGATAATAGCTGAATTTGGAGCTCACTTCGGTATATTTTAACATTTCCTTTTCCCTGCCTTGGGAGTGTGTGTGATTTGTCACATCCTTTCCTTTGGAAATCAAATGCAACTCATTCATTTGCAGTCCTTAGCTGGTAGTGTCTATTACACCTGTTAATATTTTTTCATCAACATTTACAAGGCTCTCCTGCTGGCCTAATTTTCTAATAGACCAAAAAGTGGAGCCAGGCTATCAATTCAAGTCACTGCAGATTCAAAATCCCACTAAGAGTAAAAAGAAAGAGGTAATTGTGGAAAGCCAAAATGCCACTTTTGGTTGTGTGGGGCTTTTTCACCCTATTTAGAAATTTATTATTAAAATATTAGTAAATATTTATGTTTCATCCTGGCCTTTAGGACCAGTCAGGATCTGAAGATCATTAAGTACAAACACATAAGAAAAGAAAATTGAGCTAAGTGTTCATACATCTATATAACCTCTACTGAGGAGTGCCCAGTGATTACAAAGTATCCTTAAGTTTGAATTGTAACTACACGCAGCACACAATTCAGCCACACAAGAGAATGGGACCTTAGATTATCATAGAGAATTTCATGCATGGCAGTCATTCCTGAAGAAAGTGCAGAAACAAAGAATACTTCTCTCTATGCTTTGCATGTCCTTTTTATCCTTGATTTCAGAAGTGTATCAGGGTTCTTCCCATTCTTAAAGTATTTTACCTATTTTTTATGTTCCAGGTTATTTTTTTCTCTGTCATTATTACATTGCATATAATTCACCACTGATATTAAGCTTCCCTGAGTCTATGTCAGGGCATCTACTGTTTTTGTTGCTGGATGTTCCATGTAACTCAGGATATTTTATTACTATGCTATGCTTTTCTGTCTAAGTTCTGCCTGATTGAAGACATTTCCTTCAAATGTCCTGATACTTTTATACTTAATTAGTTTTTTAACATCCCAGGAATATGGGTGGTCCAGGCCATGTGCATTAGCAGCTTGTGTCAGAACAAGGAAACGGGCAGCTGAGCACTTTCAGACACTCACACTTGGAGCAAAGCTGCCAAGGCTGTCTCATGTAGACATCAGAAAAAGTTCAAGACATTATTAAGAAAATATGGAGAGTATGTGAATAAAACTGGTGACTAAAACTGCTTCTCTAACTCATGGAAGCATTTCCACTGAGTCTGCTTTTATAAGACAGCTTTTGGTCCTAAATGCTGATGTTTTCACTTCTGTAATAGAAGTTTAAAAATCTTACATATATTGTAAATACCTTTACAATGATCTCTAAAATTACGTGTGATATTATCTATGCATTCATGAACACATTCATCATAGTTATAATTTAAAACACTATGATCCCTATTCCAGGGATTTTAGAGGAGCAAAATGTGAGGGAAAACAATGAGGGATAGGAGGCTAGCTAGAAAAAAAAAAGGGTGGTTTCTTTGCTCTGTCATTGTGTTGCTGCTTTTTTTTCCAGAGAAATGTTGTCATTAAGTTGCAAATATTTTCATTTCTTATATTCTTTTAATTTCTTGGTAACTTTAAGAAACTGATTTCTGGTACTTCAGGAATGACAGAAACAGAACAAATGTCCTTCCCACTATTGAAAAAAGTTATTGAGACTTAAAAAATCTGTGTTGTTTTAAAAAAAAATTGAATGAAGAAGGAAATATTACCAGAAATGTAAAGGGATGAATGCTGAAATAATGAAGTTAAAAAATATATATATATTTAAAATGTAGTTGCATGGGTTTTTTTAATTTAATGTTACATATTTTTTGAGAGTACAAACAATACAGTCAAAGCCTGAGTCAGAAAAGTACAGAAACTTCTTCATTATGCTGCCAGTTTCTCATATGCATAAAGTTCACATCCTTTTCCTTGGATGGCATTTGGTTTTGTTAATGAATGGTCTTATTTAGCAAGATACTTAAAGCATACAACTTAAACACAAGATGAATTACTTTCCTTATTCTAGCTCATTTTCAGAACTTTCCCTGGGCATGTTCTCTCTATGTAAGATGCAGAACTTTTTACATGGTATCAGAATCTAAACACATGGAATGATTACTTTTATTCAACTTCCAATTTTGAAGTTGAGGAGTAGACTCAGGATAAGGATAATAAACTTCTCCAAACCCGAAAGAGACTTTTAATGTATTTTTTATTAGTATTATATATTTTAATTACTGTGTGTCTATAAGGTACTGGTTTTGTTGATTTGGGGTTTTTTTTAATTAACAATGTCTTGTCAGGGACAAATCTAAGAGTCGATACATTTCATCCAAATGCAACAAGTTCTCTGATTGAAAGACAGGTCACAAAAGGAACACTGGGTTTCAGAGCAACCACAGAAGAGGAAGGCACCAACAGTGGGGGAAAAAACTTCCATTTTGGTTAAGTCAGTTGTACTTGAGACACAAATCTGTAAAAAATATGGCTCTGCTGTATCTTTTCTCCCCTATCCTTCCCTTAGGTATCCTTACGGAAATAAATTCTGCTCTGCTTTGATGAGTGGAATGATTCTGCTGTCATTTGAAAAACCAGAAAGGAAAATTATCTTGTGTAGTACAAATCTAAATTCTACACACAAAACAGCAAGACAGCAAAAGCAAGAGAGATCTACTGCACAGCCTGCAGGGAAGCATATAAGCCTTACAAGTTTTCTCTATCAGCACAGCATACAGGTGTAGATTACTGCACATAAAACATTGTGCCCTCAGTTGCTTTTTAAAGCAATACTTACCAAGTCTAAATTGAAAGAGATCTTAGTATGACTTCCTCTGAATGCTAATAAAATGCATAATATCAGGTCAAAGCATACAAACAGTAGCCTGTTACAGAGCAGACTGCAAGATTTCCTTTTATCAATTAATGTTTTAAGACTAGAAAATCCATCTAATATCCATGCATGAATGCTAATGCTTCAATACAGCAAACAGCAAAAATCTTAACAGTTTTTTTGCTGGTATTAGCACTCAGATAGAAATGACAAAAATTAAAAATCGTCAATTTTTGGGTTAATTTTATCTGTCTTGTGGGAAAGAGAAAACTGAAAGCTTTAGCAATGCAGTGTAAGCAAAAGAGCTTGGCTTGTTGCCGAGGTCACGGGTTGTGCTATGTGAAAACTAGAGTAAGAAGCAACACAGCATTTTAAAAGACTAGCTGTGGCAGGCAAGGAGAAGAAAACATTTATATTGAAACATTGTGGGACTATAATTCAAGGCAGCATAATTTTCATTCAGATATAATTTTATGATATTTTAAATGAACACATTAAGTGAAGTCTTGGATTTCCCAACCCTCTTTATTTAGCTTAATTTTCTTTTTTATTGTCAGACCTCTATAAAACATACAGGCATTTTAATCCTTTTTTTCACATTTTGATTACTTTTGCACAAACTCTTGTGTTAGAGCCAAATAATGAGGTTTTTGGTCAGAATTTTTTTTGGACAGTGACTGAGTGAAGAGTCTCTAGGGCAAATTTTTTTCACAAGGATTCTCTTAGATTTCTGTGTTCAGTGTTTGAGAGAGTTTGTCACAAAAGCAAACGAAGCAGCAGAACTGGCTCTGAACCCTGTGCACAGGCAGGACCTACCAAGCACTTCTAATGTGTAGTCCTGCAATGTTTAACCTGGCTCCCCAAAATGCTTTTTTTTTTGCTTTCCAGTTTTAGCAACTTGACACATCGAAGACACCTTATTAGCAATTCTTTCACTAACAATTGTTTTCTAGACCACAGTGGAGAGGCACAATATGCCTCTGATGGAGCTAAGCTCACACTCAGCTTTCTTAGCTTAGCTCCTGAAGAATCTTGTACCAATGGCCTTACACGTCCATCACTGACCCTAAGAGAGAAATGTAGGCAATATTTATAATCATTACTTTTCCTACTCCATACAAGTCAATACATGGTTTGCATTCAGCAGTCAGCATTGTAGATAAACAAAAATTAATAATGATATTTTTAAAATAGCCCCAAAAAGAGTCAGAATGATGCTGCACTTTGGAATGGCTGAAAACCCAAACTTTCTGGAAAAGAAAGTCTGTCGGAGATTATGGGAACTTCTGTCAGTTCCAGCACTCAGGTATGACAGCCACTCTGAATGACAGAGCTTGAAAAACACATCTAGAAAGTATCAGAACCTGTTTAAACATCAGAGTAATATTTGTATCAATTTTTTTTTAATTTAAGGAACTGAAATAATTTTAAGCAAAAATTATCTTCTAGCACAGAAGCAAAAGTCATCAGCAGCATATGTATGTGGCGGCTGTTCTGTACTGCATAGAGAGTTAACCTGAATTCTTCCTAGGAGTGTTTCACTTAATCAATTGCATATCTCCCACACAGCTAACTTATACACAAAGGTTATAAAAATTAAGTAGATAGAAAGTCTTTCAGCCAAGCTGAGAGGTCTGGAGAGCTGACTACAACTTTGGTGTTTCAATACAGTTCATATCTCTGGTATGTTTAACATTACTGTACACGTAGCTTTTCAATGCATTCCCAGTATTACTTTTGTGTTCCCTGATGAATAAAAAATTAATCCCAGAATTATGCAGGACAGAATCATATTTTGGCTTGTACAGTTTGTTGCAGCACAAAGAATCACTGCAAATCCCAAAGTCCCAGCACTACTAATAAACCGATAACCTGAACAGAGCCTCATTGTGTGACCACAAGCTACAGAAGAAGCTAGAATTCGTAAAGTGTTAATTACTCTGCAACAATTCAGCCACTGTGGTAGTTTTGGTGCTGTTTCACAGTGCAGTTGTTTTTCATTCAAGATGGCAGATAAATTTAAGAAATGTAACTTCAGAATAACCAACTCGCATGAAGTCTATAAAGATGGCAGGTCCTGGCAATACAGTCAACTGAATTTTAAAAAATTTAAAAATACTTATTCTGTAACCAGAGGTGAGTGAGAGGGCAGCTTTGGTGGGTACCTGGACCCCAGGGTCAACCCACCATAACAAGTTTAGATGTGTTAAAATCTATAATTTTGTTAATGCTGAAACTTTTAAAAGTGTCTGCAAAAGCAATAAAATAAGTATAGAGTTCTACAACAGCTTTACAGCTGCTTAAAAAGTTTTGTTAGGGTAATTCAGCAATTCTTTAGCACTAGAGGCAGTAGACACGTGCAAGCACCCTCAGAGCCCACAATCTGGCTGACAGACTGGAAACCCAGCCTTCTAAATGTTAAACCAGAATATGCAGGCAGCTGTCCCACCTGCCCAGCTGAACTACCAACATGATACCACAGTATTATTCCAGCACTTCTCGGCGCTTCTACAGGCAATATTATCAGATTTTTACACAGCATCAACAGCCACAAAAACTACTTTAGTTACATGTTAAAGCAGAATCCCTAAAACTTCTCATGGTCAGAAACTTTAAGATAAACAGCAATTCTAAATCCTTTGTTTATAGGTCTGTTGATTTTGAAATATTTGTAGGCTTTGCCTCTCTCTCCCTTGACTCTCTCACTCTGCCATAAAACAGGGAACAAGTGTGGAGCTTTGGAACTTCTTTCATTTGTCTTTGTTTCTACTGATACGTGACACACCTGAAGTGGAAAACAAGTATTCACATAAAATATATCCTTCCCTATACCATAAATAACAATGTTTTCTTGGTAATTGTAAAAAAAAATGGTAGTTTTATTTATATCTTAGTATTAGACAGTTATAAAGTATTATTCCAATATTCACAAAATTAAATGATGTTCAAGTTTCGGTATAATTGTCACACTGGAATTGTCTGTGGTTATCATATTCATCTTCTTCATAGCCACATTCCAGCACTGAAATATGCCATGGCTATGAAGTCATACTAAATCTACAGTTAGTTTTTTTTGCTTGAACTGGAGTAATAATAAACAGATTTTTGAAAATATAATACAGGACCAAAAAACTACTTGCATAGAATATTTTTTTTATATATTCAAATGCATATATTAACATTCTAAAAATTTAGGTTTAAAACTGAAAGATGTGTTAACAGGACTCATTATGAGTATAATTAACTACTACAATCCTTTTGCAATGGTTACAGAAATCCAATGTGATCTAGTACCTTATACAATCTGCCACATTCAGTACAAGAATATGCTTCAATGGTGAAATCATCCTAAGACCAGCATCTGTAATCTTCTGGCATCAAACAGACATATGAATGTGCCTGATGTATGGGGCTGCATTTACTCACCAACTTGAAATTGAAATATTAAAGATATAAGTTACACATCTGACATACATTAAGGGCCTGATCCAAATATCCACTGAAATGAGCTGAAAGATTTATTTCAAATTATCTGACTGAATTTTAAAACTACATCATCCTAAGAATTTTTTTGAATTAATATACTAATATTCAGTGCTGACCTTGACAAGTTTACATTCAGCAAGGGCTTTAAAAGTTCAGAAAGCATTGGAGAGTCAGGGAAGAAAATAGTCCTTATCTGTTGGCATTTTGGAACCAGAGCCTTTGAAGAGAGAAGGTGACGTAAAACATTCATGTCCCTATGTTGTCACATAAAAAAAGATCACCAAATATTCTGCATATACTACTAAAATGTTACCATTTCAAACAAATAGTTATAATACATTTAAACAGTAACTTCTAGACAGGGAGTGGTATATAAACCACTCAAATTCTCCATATACTTATTATATTTCGGAACACAAGGAAAAGAAGTAAGCACTTGGAGACATGAAGTATGGCAGATGTGAGACAGTGATCTAGTTAACAATCACTTTTGCAGAAGCCTGGAAATTCTTTTTCGATGGGCAAAATCAGTAGGAGAATGCTGTTCCCATATATTACATTAGCTTTAACACTAAAAAAAGTGAAAAGTGTTTATTTATAGACTGGAAGACCATAATTCAGACATACTAATGCAAAAAAGAAGACAAGACAACTTAAATTTTCTGCACGGGACTGCAAGTGAGCAAGATTTATAAACATAATTAGCTAATAGTTGTAAAAAAATATTTTGGAGAGAACTTCTCCTTTTAAATTGATTCTGAATAACTTCCTTTAAAGTCTTTGAGAGGATAACCCAGTTCCAACATCAGAAAGTTTCTCAAAATGTACAGATTTGTTTTCTTACTTGCATACATCTGTCTGTAAGAGTTGGCATTTTGCTGACTAGCAAATCTTGAATCCCATTGCAGCCATTGGCAATATTTCTGAAGACATCAAGTGAAATTTAGACAAGAAATAAAATTATTATGTCTTAGCAAGCCTAACAAAAACATTACAAGGAAAGCTTGAGACCTCTTCAGTATTTTAAAACCATAGGTACCTAGATGCTCACTAAAACAAGAAATGCATTAGTCATTTGCCAAAAGACAAAACAGACCCACAAGGTATATATATTATTATGAAAATTGAACAACATCATCCAAAGTATCTGTCCAAAAAGTGTGTCTTTTAATCAAGCAAGAGTAAAGCCCAACAATTTTTACAGCTGACACCATTTATGGAAGTAGTAATGAATGTCATGGTCACATTATTCTATCTTAGTTTTCACAGCCTTATGAGGTATTCACTGCTAAAATCCAGTTTGAAGCAAGCTCTGAATGTAGTAAAGTATCTTCATTGCTTTTTTTCTAGATCCATTCCATCTGGATCCATTCCAGATCCAGATCCAGACATAAAATGTGTGTTAAATTCAGTGGGGATACAAGGAAAGATCCTGTGCAATCACAATAACATTGAGCTCATTTAGAGAATCCTTCCTGTAGGACCACATCACCAACCCTGAATACTCTAACAGAGCAATATTCAGTGAAGTTACAAAAGGACAGATGGATCTGTTAATTCAGTTTATTCCCTTTATCACTCCAAGGAGACAACTCTTCAACTGCCTAAATTCAAAAGATGTCCGTTTACTCTTGGGCATAGGAAGTATTTCCTTTGACATATAAATGCTGTGTAAAGGACAGTTTCCTTCTAGCTTCATGTTCTACAGACAACTTGGATATGAACCATTCCTCCCCAGGAATTTGCCCCCCTAATATTTGCAGGTAGAGATTTCACTGTTTCCCAGGGTTTTGAATTTGTATAATATAACAGCTGATGGTTGGGCTTGGTGATCTTGGAGTCTTTTCTGACCGTAACGATTCTATCATTCTATAACAGTTTTGTGCAGTTCAGACCACAGCCATGCTGTGCACCAGGAATTCATTCACAAAACATCCGTAGAAAAAAGTAGTCTGTCATATCCCCCTGGGTACAAAATGAGGCCTGTGGAGAGAAGAATCCAAAGCAGAAAAATTGTAATATAAAGTATACTGGGAGGGATTCTTGCTGTGCCCCACCTCTACTACTTATCAGTGGAAACAAGGGTCAAGCCTGCTTTCCTTCCATCTTGCATTGAGTGAGAAGATTCACACCCTGGGTTTCTGGCTCTTCTTTGTTTTGCAAACTCAACGTTTGGGTTCTTTTTGCGTTTGGCATTTTTTTTCATGGAGCAACTGACTTTAAGTTATAATCAAGGTAGACTGTCTTTTCTTTTCTGGCATAATGCCCCATCTTTTAACTTCTGCCCAGGTTGGCTTGCTCTTTATTTTCTGGCTGGAATGGTCTTTTAAACATATTCTTTGTAAATTGTTTTAAATATTTTGATGTCAAATGTCTTCTCTCTCCTTAAAGGACTGTGGCACTCTTTCCATTTTTTCCCTTGTGCAGCAGGGGTGTCAGCACTAGAGGGGAAGTGGCTGGAAATGTTTGTGCAGGTCTCACAGCCAGCCAGCCAGAATATTGTGTGGCTCATGACACACACTGGCACTGTTAGCACTGCAAATAGTCTGGTGTGTTTTAAGCTCAGGACAAGTGTAGCATAAATGTTTTTCCTACAGTGGATCTGTAGCAGCCTGCAAAATGACAGAGTGAAAACCCTACCATCAAAATAAATAGAAGAAATATTTTAACATTAATGCATGGCAATATAAATCCCATCAACTACCTGACAGCTGCCTGTGCTCAAGGTCAGGTCTGATATGGTGCAGCTGCGTAACCTGGATCAGGCTCCTCTAAGAACAGCCATACTGTAAGAAAGAGATGAAGAAGGAGAATCTTGGGAGGCTGCAGGGCTGCAGAATAGGATTATACAGAAAGAACCATCTCGTAACCACAAGCTGCTCAGAGCATGTAGAGCCTGTTGGTGCAGTCCAGGCTCTCACAGCACCTCCAACTGAGACATGTCTGTTGGACAAAAGGGCACTGTGACTTTGGGAATGTGGTTGGTATGGGTAACACATCAGTGAGGATCTACAGAGGGTACTGTAGATGTCACCCATCAGCATGGATAGGTTGGATTTGCCCACCACAAATGATTGCAAAACAACCACTAACAGTGTATGGCAAAGGCAATACTCTTCTACTGGTAATGATCACCAGTGGCCTAATGGTTAGCGTGCAGGACTTTCACTGCTGCGACCACAGGTTCTAGTCCCCGGTCTCCTGGCCTGATGGAGGTCGTTAGCCCTGTGTGGCCATCCATCTATGAGAAGGACACTCTAAACAAACCTACGTCCTGAGGACCTCACTGCCATTGTCCAAGCTTGCTTGGCCCCGGCAGATGAACCTTAGGATTAAAGGGTGGGCTCAGTTCAGCGCAGGCTGTGTCTCACCTAAAAAATCCATTGCGCAGGCTGGAAAGGTAAAAGACCTTTCCCCAAATCTTCGTTCGCGAAGATGGGCCATTATTATTATTAAAATGTTGGCGTGGAAAGATGGGTGCTAGTTCTCAGGACAGAATATAAAATTCAGTTGTCCAGTTCTAATTTTGTACTCACTATTGACATATGTAATGTAGGACAATATAATCCTATCTTGTTTCCTCAGCCCAAAACCTTCAGTATGTGTGAAAGGGATTAGCTTAATTGTGAATATCACAAGCAGCTGCCTGAGGGAAGCACTGGGGAATCTTTACTCTCTGCTGGTCAGGAAGCACCAATTGCTTTACCATGGCATCACCATTTCATCCAAGCAAGAGTTTACCTAACCCTGCAACAGGCCTCTTCCTCATTGGCTCTCAAGTACCGCAACAGAATAATTATGAATCCTGGGATCTCTGTATAGCAAAGAGCAACAAAGATCCCAAGACAGGTCAGACTGACAAAGTCTGAATTGCCTCTGGAGACCTCCCCCCCTCTCTAATGGTTACGTAGATAAATTAATTTTCTAGGCACCACCTTAGATTAGACGCCTAAAATTAGGTGAAATTCCCATTCTCAAAAGGATAGATAGTAGGTAGCAGGTAATCAGATCATACTCAACAATCCTGAGGAACAGAAGTAGCATGTCTGTTTCTGGAATTGCATAATGTTAACTGCAGTCTAAAGGACTTCTAATCTCTGTCTGGAAAAACACTGTTTGCTTAACATAGCCATTTGATACCACAAATAGCAGAAATCTGGGGTTTTCCTCCATGCAAGCCAAACCAAATTATACTGAAGCAGTTAATAATACCCCTGCACAGATTGTTTAAACTTTTTTTTCACTTGAACTGTTTTTTAACTTAACAACTGGATAATGAATCTCAGGCATCAGGCTGAAAAAGTTCCAGTGTGAAACATGTATTCAGATAAGATTAAATAAAATTAGCCAACATTTAGATGCTATTGCAATATCTTATGTATTTCTCTTTTTTTCCTTTATTCCCAGAACGATAAAATCTTAACCTTAATTTGTTCTCTAAAGCCCATATGGACTATCTATGAAACTTCAGGCACTCTTGAAGATAAGGTATAGAAATATGAAATTTTGTGCACATTTTAGTAAAACAATTGCTTTCTCAACTCACCTGAAATTGCCATGTTTAATAGATTGCCTCAAGAGCGAAGAGTTTGGCCAGAGAATCAGTGTTAGGATACATATGGAGTTTAATACTGAATTCTTTGCCCCAGATGAGTAAAAACCAACTTAAACCTTCTCCTTCAAACCAATTGGGAGGAAGGATGTTTTGAAGGTTATTGAGTCTTAGCTCCTACAAAATTCTGCAAAATAGACTTTTCCAGCACGACCTGTAAGATTATTCTATAAATGTTTTACTTTTCTTGCACATACAGATCAGAAGTCAATGCAATGATAAATTATAAATATAAATAAAACAAAGTAAACAAGTAAAATATAAGTCTGTGTCTGCAGGAGTTTTCAGTCTAATATGTAAATTACTGACTCGGGTTTTTTCTAAATTGTATGCTAGGATACTGTGATCTGAAATGAAAGTACATCAAAACAAACATGGAGCAAACCACAGCCAAAGATCTGTCCCCATATATTTAGAAAATAAATGTAGTGAAATGATAAAATGCTTGTAAGAATCTCAAAGTTCATTTAATTTAATCTTTTTAGAGTTTCTTAATCCCAAAGAATAGGACTACACAGATTTTTTTATTCAGGTTTTGGCTTCTTTGCTACACATCTACTACTATAAAATTACATCTTTCTCCCCAGAACTGACTGTATTTGTGAAATCCATCCTGCAAGGCAGAATGCTGTCTGCAGTACAGAAGGGATTTTGAAGAAACACTGTTCTATGATTCCAGTATTGGCAATGCACTCTGAGTGTAGAAACTTGAAAATCAATGTTCAGGATCGAGGAAGTACTCTCTGGGGCACAAGGGACTATCTTTTTTTTTTGTGTCCTCTCTTTGTCGAGAATCATAAAATGAATTGTGATATCCCTTCAGATGCTTGGCACATTACATTAATGGCTTGCCTCTACACGTTATTTTTCTTTTAGTTTTCCACTGTACAAAAGAAAAAGCTTATATTAACATACTCCTGAATTAGCATTTTTCTAAAAATAAATAACAGTCCATGTGTAACTCATAGTATTCTTCAGTTACACAAGTTTGTACTCAGGAAATGTAAACAATCAGTCCTCTTCTTCAATAAATAAAGAACATGGCTCAGACTTGCTCCCCAAGTGATGGCCCCTTTTTGTTGCTCGATACGTCCAAAGAAGCCAGAATTTGACAAAATGAGAATTCTCCCAATGAAGCCAGAGCAGGAGGACTGCAGATGGTGAAAACTGGTGAAGTCTACACATTTGACAATCGCTTGCCTGACACCCCCACTAACACTGCAGGATGTCAAGAAATGAAAGGGTCAAATTTATTTTTCCCAGTGGCTTGTGCTCTCTTATCCAGCTGTTGTAAACCACAGCAAGTGACAGACTGTTCTAACACATTTTGGACATATCTCTCATCAAACTGTTCTAGTTGTATCATCCCCATTTAATATGTTGATAAATGACATGCAATTGCTTTATACCCTCCTGTCTTTTCAGTTTTGTGTCTAACAGCAGAAATTTTCCTCCTGTGCTGTTCAGCTTCAGAAGCAGGACAAAGAAATCTTATACTTTCTACGTAATGCTATGAGAACGTCAATGGTGTAATAGGGTACCCTTTGAGCAAGACACAAGAGAATCTCTGTGTTTTTATGAAAATATGTTGAAATTCATTACTGAAAATATTTACCACCTGTGTCATAAGGACACGGTCTTGATTACTGTGTTTTATGGAAAAAAAACCCCCTTACCTACAATTCATCCAGTATTATCGCCAAGTAGTAATATAACAGTCAAAGACTGCCCTGTATCATGACAATGAACTAGAATTCCCAGTTTTCTGCCTAACTATGTTTTAACAAGCTATTTAAATGCCCTGGTCCTCAAGTTGCCACTTTACAAAATCATTTGCATAATCACCCATTTTATAGATGGGCTTTCTCAATAGATGTTCAAATCCTTCAGTAATAAAGGTAATAGAAGAACTCATATAAAAAGAACTCTAATACTAAAATAAAAGAAAAAAACAAGAATAATGAAAAAGAGGGAAAATACATATTCTATAGAATATATATTCCATTCTATAGAACATTTTTAGCATAATTTAAATATTTATACTATAGCTTCCCTACATTTTTCTAGCTAAATCTGAAATATTAGCCTTTCAGAAGTGCCCTTTGGTTTAGTTCATCTAGTGAGAGGGAAAAAAAATCATCTTATTAAAATGCTTTCTGTAACTGTGATGCAATTTGATGCTCTTTTTGGTTTTAACTGTTTACTTAAGCACTTGGTTATAATCATTAAGCACTGTTCCAGAATCATGGGGAAACCCAAAATGGAGTAAGCTGTGGAATTCCTTTCAGAGCTCTCAAATACACTGGCAAGCAAGCCCACTTTTCTCTGGAAGGGAAGGACTGTGGTTTTCCCAGTCTGATGATGATCCCTTTTCTCTGAGTACCATTAGATCATGCTTTCTAGAGGCAGATCCCTACAGCTCATGATGACACTTCTGAACAAGAAGGAATGATGCTTTTGGAAAACAGAACCAATTACTGGCATTTTGAAAGAGTAACTCAGAGGTAGGTAGTTCTTAACTTCCCTCTAATCTCAGCCCTCATTTCAAACTTCACACTGTCACTGCACAACAGTCTCAGGATGACTGTTATGAACAAGAAACAGATACTCAGTAAAGATCAATTAGAACAAGACTGTTGCCCCATCTGCCTTCATCCTTGGTTCTGGAAAGGTTTTATTAGATGCAAAGTTAAACTATTATATTATTCAGACTCCACCTCTTTATCATTTCACATGTATTTTGTGATATGGAGAATCTACTCAGTGTATAGAGAAATGCATGTGGAGTCTTTATTGTCTTACAATCTGGAATTTCATATTGCTTTTGGAGTATGTTTCAAGATGCAGTATACATTTGAAAGTTTCTAAAATGTACTACATTCTAAAACTTTGGTTTTCTTTAGCTGTTTAGTAGGATACTAAAATAATCCAAAATATTAGCTATTTTTGATTGCAGTTATAAATACTACATCTATTTATATATTAAAACAATATAAAATAGTAAGAAAAATTAACTTTTTAATTAAATTCCTTCTTAGGAAATCAATTGTAAATTTTTCTTTTTTTTTCCAGCACAGTGTCTTTTATTTTTTTGATATCTTAGTAGAAACTGCATTTCCAAAGCTCCAGATTTTAAACCCCAACTAATCATGACATAGAATTAGTCTATTTATGGCTACAAAAAGCAAGCCTTGTTCTCATTATGCAGTAAGTACTAGCTGTTTATAGATCTGACAGTTTGCTGGAAGGGATCCAAACCTATAGTGCTATTATTCCTGAGTAAAACTTAAACAGCTGCAGTCATGTAATTCAAAACCCTGGAAGGCTGCTGCAGTACTCGTTCAGCTCCAGTATACCATGAATGCAGGATGCAGCCAGTCATATAAAAGATTCTTTGCTTCTCAGAATGAAAGAAAGACGTGAACTGCAAACCTGAATGCAACCTGACATTTCCAAACAGATGAGCCTGTGACAGCTTCTTCCAGAGTCCAGGTATGGTAAACCTTTGTCTGTGAATTTTCTGCAGTGAGCTAAACTCAGATACTGTAAAGTAGGGAAGCTGCTTTGCAAAAAAAAAAAAAAACAAAAAAAACCAAAACCCAAAAAACCAACAAAACCACAAAAAAACAACAGAAAGCAAATTATTACAAGGACATGTTACAGAATCAAAAGAACATAAAATACCATAGTTAAAGTATTCTGAAAATTACTGTATAGAAAAGATGTTCAATATGAAATTGAGTTATCTTCTTGCTGAAGTTTGAAAATCCCTTCTGCTGCACTTTTTTCTCTGCTCCTTGTATTGCAAATTACTGGGAAATAGCACTATCATACAAGATGTTTCACCATATGAAACCAGTATAATTTTAAAGTTATCTCAAATAACTGCAAAAGCATACTTTTTAAATTTATGGAAACTTTTTTGTGCATACTTTGCAAGTATGATTTTTCAGTGTAAGTTTTCTGGACTTTCTTTGCCATTAATTTTACAAGCAGTGCCTGCTGGAAATGAAAACCAGATCTCTATCAAAGAATGTTAAAAGCTTAAATGTGCAGTTAAAGCTTCTCAAGTAATATAATTATGTAGAAGAGTACTATTAAAATAATATGAAAAATTAAAAGAGTTACAAAAGGGAATTATCCTAAGGTGAGTCACACAATTTTAGATTTTGATCCGTTCTTTTGGAAAACATTTCTTTATACTAAACATTAGTTAAAAGAGACCAAACTGTGTAAGTAGAAAATGTTAGTCAACAGCACTCTGTAAAAGCAAGAATCTATACTCTGAATTTACTTAAGTTTCCATCTGCAGCTTTGGTTTATATCATACTGGAAACTATTCATTTTACTGAACTACATTTCTAACTGGAATAAATAACAATTGCCACAAGCACCACAAATGAAAGCATGCAGAAAATCAAAACCTAGAATTAGGACCTTCTGTTCTGGTAGACATTTAGTTGTAGGGATATAGTCATGCAGTTCTGCAAGTCAGCCAAAGTAGGCATTTTGAAGAAAGATGGGAACACCCACTGAGGAGCTGACTGCTTAAGGAGTGGCAATACTAACTTTTGGAGCTGACTTTATACTTTCAATATAGAGTGGGAAAACATGCTAACTTGAACTGAACACAAAGACAAACAGATAGGAAGTACAAAAGAATGCTGTCAAAAAAGAATAATACAAAAATATTAAGAAATTAAATATAAGATTACATTTCATGAAAAAAACAACAAGATGGACAATGTGCATTAGAACTAGATATTAGAAAATAAGGGCATGTGTTATTTCTGGTGTCTGTTTTTAAAAATGGAAATATTTAGTTCATATTAAGAACAGAAATAAAAGCATCCTTCTCTATAGAAGCCTAAGCCTTTTTGTGATTTAGGGTCATATCCCACAGAAATAAGTAGCAAAAATCAAACTTGGAGAAGTATACTTCACACATATCTGATAAAATAGATAATAAATGAGGAGATTGACTTTTATACTCTGGTAGTTCTAAGTCTTTTTAAAGTATATGCTGCTACAAGGTTGCACAACTTAAGACACAGGTAAGCCTTTCTTACTGCATATTGAAAGCTGTGATCAAAACCTTATAATACTTTTGAAGGGATGTTAATTTTCTTTAGATCATATTACTAATTTTTATGATCTGGGAATTTTAACACATTCCTTCTTTTCCATTTTAAAACTTAATCTTGAGCACACAGACTACTAAAAATTCTTGTTTTGTGTTAGAGCTAAATTCTGCAGGAGATAAATCATACTGGTTCTTCAATTAATTTTGACATTTGCAATCTCAGGATCATTGTTTTAAAGCAATCTGACAAAATCTACTTCTGACATTTATTCTTGATGGACAATATTCATGTCTACCAAATGCAACAGAACTTTTCAGAGGGAAATTGTAGCTGATTATTTGTGTTGTGAAATATGGAGGTTAAAATGCTTGTATGGAATAGTATGAAAGAATAAAAAATGACCCTTACACTCCACTAGCTCCTTATTCCAATAAAGGATGTCTGACATACCATAGCAAACTTCACGTGCACTATTATGAAATGCAATACTGCCACCTCTAAGCACTTTGTATTAGTTACCATATACACAGGACCTGTGCTGAGCTAATGCTTTTGAGACGATGTAAAATGTTTATGAAATCTGTCTGCTATCAAAATTTTCACAGGACAGCAACTTTTTGTACTTCCACATAACCTCAGAAACAATGAGCTTTGCTTTTTTGTTCAAAAATTGCCATTACCAACAGTGGAATCTTATGGTTTTAAATCAGAAGCGTCATGTGTGACTGGGAGAGTTTCTTATTAACAAGGTACAAATTAATTGCAAAAGGTATTTTAATAGTGGATAATTTTTCTTTGGTATGTTCTATTTACACATCAAAAGAAATGATGTTTCAAAGTTCAGCATAAATATATGGAAATTTAAAAATACCAGCCAACATGGAGAAAACAGAGATTATAATAAGAATAATACTAATGAGGAGATGAGTGGTTATACTGGAGACATGAAATACAAAACTTTGCCAAAACAAATGTTAGTTATATGAGGATATGGCATTACAGACTAAGAAAAACAAAAGTCAAAATGTATTATGCAAATGCCAAAGAAAAACATGTTTCTGAGCTTTGTGGAGATGCTGTTGAAAGAAAGACATTTGTTTTCCTCATGGAAAAGGGAAACAATGTACAGTTATCTTCAAATCTATATCCATCTTTGTGATGGCTGCTGTCATGGACCAGCACATCTCTTGTCCTCCATGGCAGCTTTTAATGCAGCTATTCTACCAGCCAGGCAGACTTCAGGTCTCAAGGGATACATTTAAAAACAGGAATGGCAGACTTTTGTACGATTGTAAATTCTCTGCTTTCAGCTCAATGATCTTCCAAATAAGAGTTTGGAATAAATCCTTCTTTTGCAGTTGTCACACAAGGCCTTGGCTCACACAATACACGTATCCACAATCCTCTGTTTCAAAAACAAATTATTAAGAACATATTTAACTTGCAAACTTCTTGCATCATCAGTGAGGAACTGGACAAGGACAAGAAATTTTTGGATAGCAAGTTCTTTTAAAAACTTTTGTAAACTCTGTGAAATATATAGGGGACTCTACCATATATTTTTAAATATACTAAAAAGATAAAAGAACTGCTATCTAAATGAAATGTATGGGGCACTTCTTTTATTTTGTATAGCAGACAGAATCCTGCAAATCACTCAAAAAGAGTATTTCTGTTACATATGCCTCTAAATTTCCTACAAGATTAAAACAAATACACTTTCGTATTTCTGATTAATTTTACCTTGACAAAAGTCATAGGACTATTCCATTAGTATTATCTCTATACAACAGACTTAAATAGAGAAGAGCTCTGCAGCCTTCTGATGTCTCATCAATTCATCTTGACTAATGAAAAAATCCAAAAGTATATTAAAATTATATTTGTATTTGTATTAATTTATCTTACCTTTTTATGCAGAGTTTCAAGGGAACAAAGCCATGATTAAATATCTTTAAAGCATCATAATAATTTTTATATGTCTCAGCCATTTTCTTTGGAATCCTCAGAGTAGAATATGGAGAGACATCTGATGCTACTCTTACTTACTTGAAGTACAGTCATTTTATCATTTTAATTCAAGGATACATACACTATACAGACCTACAGAGCATGAGAACTTTTCATATGGTTGAAAGTTAGCACATTTACACATTTTGGTAAATCAAGATTACTCTTAGCCAATCTAAAACCACTAGTGAATTTTATCCATGAGCTCTGGTGCATTTCTCTAACCCATAATATAATTTACATAATTCTTCCTGTTTAGTTCTAACTTCTAGGTGGAATGTTAGATTTGAGTAATTATAGTGCTTCTACATTTTATTGACCTGCAGAAGAGGTACTACCTATAGTGTTCTATATATCATTCCATTATTATATCATGGGAACAAATCTCCTAGTATGAAGAACGCTTCACAGTAAATGTCAATATAATAGAAAGGCAAAAAGTCAGCACTTGTACATGAAAGTGTAGTAGTTGAGTGACCTTTTGCTACATTGTGGTCACCTTGTCACTATTTCAGTTATCAGGCAAAAGGACAATCCAGATAGCTGGTAATTCAATACCAATCAACTAAATCTAAAGAGGACAGTTTGTGCTTTTGAAATATATTCCTGCAATGAAGGATTTGAGAGAGGAGATGTCAGTGAAGATAGGTATGTTGATGGAAGACAACCATAACCTGAAGAGGACTGAAGGCACAGGCAGTGATGAGAAAGCACTGGGGGTAATAGCATGATGAGGGAAAACTCCGAAACTTTCCACATGAAAGCAGCACAACCAAGGGTCTGTCCCAAGTGTCTGAACAAAAACACTTGTTGCACAGGAATCAACCAGCAGGGACCAAAGCCCATGCACAGATTCAGAGCTGTGATTTCACTGGGACTCCAGAGATGCAAAAGGGTAGCACACACAAGCAGAGGGGTACAATGAATGGTTCCAGAACATTTAGGAATGACAGCCCAGAAAGGTGACGACGGGTTGCACTCTATGCAAAGTTATACCTGAACACATGGAGCTTTGCCTTGGAATGAATGACAAGCCAATCAAGAGCTTATTTTAAGGATTAGAGGCTAGACCTATGAGGATTACATTGTGGTAGGTATCTGCTACAAATTGCTTGATCAAGTAAAGAAGGCAGATGAAACCTTTGGGCAGCTGAAGGAAGCCTTACTATTGCTTATCCTGGTTACTCATGAGAGACTTTAACCACTGTGACACCTGCTGGAAGAATGATATGGCTGGGCATGAAAAATTCAGGGACTTCCACAGTATGTTGAAGACAATTTTTTGATCCAGCTGACTGACAAGTGGTCTAGGAAATATGTTTTTTGAGGGGTGAAGGAATGTGAAGAACTAGAGTGGCTTTGGTTGCTGCAACCATGAAAATGAGAAGTTCAAAATCGTGAGAGAAGAAAACTGGACAAACCATAGCAGAAAAAACCTGAACTTGATAGCAGATTTCGGCTTGTTTAGGGATCTGCTTAACAGGATCTCATGGAATACAGCCCTGGAGGGCTGTGGAATAATGGATAGAGTTAAAAAGGGGTTACTTTTTTGCCTCAGTTTTTACTGCTGAGGCTTGTCTGAAGGCTTCCCAGGTGCCTTGCTTGGAGCCTATGAGCAGAGTCTCTGGGAATGAAGCAATGCCCATGGTAGAAGAAGTTAATGTGAGGGAGCACCTGAGGAAATGGAGTGAGACAGGGTGCATCCAGGAGTTGAGAAAGCTAGCTGTTGTCACAGAGAGGCCTCGCTCAGTTTTGAAAGTTCATGACAATCAGAGGAGATTCCTAATGACTGGAAGATAGGAAATGTCACATTCATTTTCAGAAAATGGAAGATCCAAGAAATTACAGGCCAGTCGGCTCCACCTGAGTCCCTGGGAATGTTATGCAGCAAATCCTTCTTGAAGCCCTGTCCAAGAACATGAGGGATGAAAAAGTCACAGCAAGCGCCAGCGTGAATCTACCAAGGGCAAAGAATTCCTCACTAAGATGGTAGTTTTCTGTGATGGAATTACTGGATCTACAGATAAGGGGATAAAAGCATCTATTGTGCATCTTGACTTCAGCAAGGCCTTCAGTACAGGCCACAGTATCCTTTATAGCCAAATTGGTAAAATAAAGACTGGGTAAATGGACTTTAGGATGAGTGAAACTTTGTCCTGACTGTCAGCCCAAAGGGTTGTCACCAATAGTGCTAAGTACCACTGGTGTCCTGTGGAAACTGGCATCCCTCAAGGGTCAGTATGGAGGCCAGGACTGTTAAATGTCCTTATAAATGGTTTGGATGGTAGAAACAGAGAACATTCTCAGCAAATTCACGAATTATTCCAAACTGGGAGATCTGTTGATACACTGGAGGCTAGAACTGCTATTTGGAGAGATTCAGTCTGGAAAAATGGGCTGACAGAAACCTCATTCAGTTCAACAAAGGCAAACGCTAAGTCCTACAGCTGGGATGGAATAAGCCCACGCATCAGTACAGTCCAGACACTGGACAGAAAGCAGGAACCCACAATCAACATGACCCTGGAGCAGCACACAACCTCTAAATATTACACTGCAATTATAATATCATATAGCAAGTATTATGTTATGTAGCAAGCTGATTCTACAGCGTTACTCAAAGGACTTCATAGTAATTCCTTATCCATTCCTTATAGCTGCTGTAGCAAAGAATTTTACATAATCTGTGAAAATTATGAGAACAAGACACTTGGCAATAAATAGGACAGAGATGAAGATATATGTAAAGCAGAACTAAAACAGAGTATTATAAATTAGAATCTTGTGATTCTTCTGCAGCTCTTGCCTCTCTAACTTGACTATGATAAGCCATTTTTGCATCAAGTACATAAGCTATAGTTCATCTGTGATAATTTTTAAAACCTTGTGTGTAAATACTGGCATGTTTCTTGGCTAGAACCTTGGATGTACACTTCACTACAAAGACAACTAAACTATACCAAATTATTTGTTTATATACATAACACTAGAATAGCCTATAAATGGATGTATACATCATCTGAATCTATTAAGAACCATAATTTCTTAACAAAATATTAATTGTATCTTTAGATTGATTTTATTATTAGAAAAATTTGTACATATCAGTGTCTTTTCTAAGAAATTATTAATTAAGGCAGAGTCAAATATTGTTTTTCCATCAGAGACAGCAATGAAAAAGACATTAAAGAGAATTAATGGAAGCAAGATAAAACTGAAAATGTTAAACTGGAAAAAAATGGACGAATACATAATGGTGATTGCATTCTTAGACACCTTTTAAAAGCTCCCAAAAATATCAAGAAATTTAGTGAGACATTTTTAGAGCTCAAGTGTAATACTGAAGGAAGGAACAAAGGAACTAGAAAACAATATAGTATTAAAATGAATTGTGGACAACTCCAAGCTCATAATAACGAAACCCTCCTCCCAAACTGGTGAAGTTTTGAAGCCTGTTTATTAAAATTAGTTGAAATAGAATATATGATTTTCCCCTGGCACCATATAAAACCAATGAGAACTTCACTGATTATATTTGATTTCTTCTAAATTCCATTTTCAAAGTACTTGAGAACACAAGTCTTTACTTTTTGTCAGGAACATTTGTGTACCCAAATAACCACAGCACTAAGAAAAAATCTCCCCTCTTAGTATAAATTAGAGTTCATAGGAAAAGTCTATAGCCTTTACATTTAACCCCTGGCATTCAGAGATATTCAAGACTTGCAAATTCCTACATTCACCTTAAAACCCCCACAAAACAAAACAAAACAAAAAAACAAACCCAACCAAACCCACATTATATTAAAGGTGAACAGCTCAAATTCTCAGCATATGACATAAGTGTATGAATTCCTCATACACATTCAGTCCATCTAGGCCAACATCCTGAACTCATGGTCACAGTAGATTACTGAGATGAAAGCACAAACCCCAAAAGCAGAATACAGAGTTGGAGTAAACTGACTTGAGAAAATGACTTGCAAAAAAAGTCCACACTCAAGCGCAGACTAAAACTGCGAGTTTGACAGTCACTGAATGATTTTCCCTGGTCTGGCTGTGTATGAGTTCCAGTTGTTTAGCACCAAGAAAGTTGGAATATATCAGCTTTAAACTCCTCTTTCAAACCCAACTTTCAAGATTAACTTAAATGTAAAGAAGATCCAACCTGATGCCGTTTTCCTGAACACATGAGAACCTCCTGACAAAGATAATTTAGAAACTGGTCCATATAGTTTCCCATGTTTTATCAAGTACACCTAGTAGACCAGAGACAGTAAAAACAAACAAACTAACTAACTAACTAACAAAGATAGGACATTAAATCTTCAAAGTATTTGTGAAGCTCCAAGTAATGTGATGATTGAGTACTTGACTGAATGCTGCGTATTATGTACAAGCCTCCATGAAAATGCCCATTTTATCTGTTCTAATGTTTTACTTTTCTTCCAACACAGGGATCCCACATACCCCAGCTGTGCCTCCTCAGATCTGTACAACACTGATTCAGACTATTCAAAAATTTCAACTGTTCCAGCTGTCACAGAAAACAACTGGGGCCAGCTGAATGTCAGGATGCAACTAGTTACTATTATAGTACTACTTTTTCTTTGTAAAGCAACTGACTGTAGAAGGACAAGGAACAGGAGTTTGAAAAGCAATGAAAGAGAAAACATCTTAAGGAGAGCATCTAGCACTGTTAAGCGCAATGCCCAAGGTCTAACATGTGATATTTACACTCACCTTCATGAGAAATACTTAGATTGTCAGGAGAGAAAATTGATTTTTGTGGGACCTGATTGGCCAGAGGATATAAAACACATGCTGCTAGCAAGAAACAGGATTCGTAAATTGAAGAATAATATGTTTTCCAAGTATAAAGCACTGAAAAGTCTGGATTTACAACAGAATGATATATCAAAAATTGAGAGCGAGGCTTTTTTTGGTTTGAATAAACTTACCACACTTTTACTTCAGCATAACCAAATTAAGAGTTTATCTGAGGAGATTTTTATTTATACACCTAGTCTAAACTACCTACGCCTTTATGATAATCCCTGGCATTGCAACTGTGAACTAGAAACCCTTGTTACAATGCTACAGGTTCCAACAAACAGAAATTTGGGAAATTATGCCAAGTGTGTGCACCCAATAGAACTGAAAAATCAAAAGCTAAAGCAGATAAAAGCTGATCAGCTATGTAGTGAAGAGGACAGGCAGGACCCCAGAAACATAAAACGGGAGAAGCCTGAACCTGTCAAACCAGAATTTGATTCCTCTTTGTGCCACATGTATGTGTTTCCTGTACCAACTCTGAACTGCAAAAGAAAAGGTTTGTATCTATCATTATAACTGAATTAATGATTTTGATATTCTTGTTCCCTTACTACATTTATTTACATATTATGTACTACAAATGAGTAGTACTAGTACTAGTACTAGTACCAGTACTCGCTTTACTTAAATTGATACTTTCAATTGTTTTTCTCTCATAATTAGTAGCAATTAGTAGGAATTCTTGCTGCATTTTATCTCTGCTCTGCAGCCCCAATTCCACAGATATTCCCTAGTGCTCTAGTATAAGATAGCTAACAAAACCCAACCAGAATAAACCTAAGAATATTACTGAAGGACTAGCACCTTGGTAGTCTGATTTTACAACTATAAACATACTCATCAGACAAATTAAAGCTGTGCTGAAACTGCTGAACTGATAGAGAAAAGTACAGAGTCTTTTCTTCTTTCCAGTGTACAAGCACAAAGACAGCAATAACTTTGGCAGAAGTGAACTGTGAAGCAGGGCTGGGACAGCCAGCTGTGCTTGCAATGCCCAAAGGAATCTGATTGCAAGGGAAAGCCATTGCATCCTCACATTTGCTGTGCAAGATTTCTTCTCCTAAGTGAAGAAATTGTGTGCTTGTGTTCACAAAGAAATACCTCCCCTGTGTTCTTCTTCCCAACACACAGCAAACAATGCAAAGTTGAAGGGCCTTCAAGAAATGTTTTTCAGACACTTGGATCCATTCCATTCCTAAATCCTTCTCAGGCTCCTAAAAGCCACAGTTAAGCCTTAAGGGTAAACCAGATGGGATATATATCAACACAAAAGTGCACATTTATCTGTGCTTTATATTTCCCATATTTTATCCCATGATGAAGCAAAGCAAACAACAAAACAATTCAAAGGAGAATCATTCTTTAACATAACAATTCTGAAATAAGAAGCATTACTGGAAGCAGTCAGCATTGTGAGGATTTTTTCCCAACTTTTTCAAAGCTTAGCCTGCAATACCAGATCACCGCAGTATGTTTTGAACAATTAAATTTCTATTTGCTTTAAGAGTGACTTAATTTTATGTAAAAACCTCAGTGTGCCCTTACTCTTGCACCTTAATGCCAGAGACAAGCTCAGAGTGCAGTATGAGGAGATAATCAGGAATTCACAATTTCAGTATTTGATTACCATTAAAAATGGTCCATGGTTTTTTTCTTTTTTCCACGTTGTTGAATTCCTTTCTTCTCCCTATGGCTCACTTTTCTCTTTGTTTTACCATGCAGCTGCTACATCTTTTTTATTAATGATTTTGCTGCTTTACTAGTGAACATTCATTAATTTTTTAATGTTCACCTACCTTATCTTTCCTTGTAGGTAGGATCTTAATTATTAGATTAAAGAGTATGGTCTTAATTATCCTTCGTAGGATCTTAATTATATCATTATTACTTTATGTCTTCAGTAAACTGTGCTACTGAATAAAAACCAGGCATATATTATAATCTTAATATCAGAAAATACTGACTTTACAGCTCTGCCCATTTAGTGGTATCAGAGATGAGCTGAATATATTAATATACTCCAAAACTTTTGGCACAAAAAATATTACTTTTTTTCTCTAAGTTCATAGAAACATTCGATGTAGTCTGATCTTTGTGGGAGTTTCACAGGGGTTTAGGGTATTTAAAAAATGGTTTATTGACTTTGGTACTAATAATGGAGAAATAAAATTACTTCAGCCTCTACATGAGTGTACTAGAGGGTATAGGGACTCTCTCCTTCAGGTCAAGAACTAAATATATCAGTCCAGAATTTCCTGAATATTTAGCATGGACAGAGTGAGTATGTTCCAATATTTTTTAGGAAGTACCAGATCTACTGTGCATATGCTTAACAGCTGGATGCAGATATCCCATGGATATTTGGCATTTCTGAACATATGGTAATCTTTGATGAAAGCATTGTACTTACTGTCTTTGTATATGATTACAGTACAGCAGATGCACAATTTCATTGGCATTTTCATCAGAAATTGGAGTATAATGCACACAAAATCCCGGGAAAACACAAAAATTTCTCTAAATCCGCATGGACAAGATTTCAGAGTAGGAAAAAAGGTGCATCCATTGCCAAACCAGTAAGATGACATGAAAAGCTGCAATCCATTATTGCTTTACTATGGAGGGGATGCAAAGACAAGCAGTGTACCAGAGTATGAATATCTCTAAAGAGGTATGACAACAGGTCAGGAGCTTTCAGTTTATGCCAGAAAGCTCATGAAAGAATCATCTTAAAAATACATTTAACCATGTGTATGTTCTCTTTTTTGAATTATTTGCTTATATCTCACCAGACCAGTGGTATGCCAGACCTTTCAGTACTCCAGAATGAAATACCCTATGCCCTTGATTCTGTTTTACAAATAAAAAAAAATAAAACCATTTGGAAGCAAAAGCAATTTCTGTTTGCTTTTCTGCAAAGAATTTGTATTTACAAAAACAGTTTAAAAAACTCTGCTTTCTAGTACTGCCAAGTCCTCCAAGTCTCTAAATTTAAGCATTATTTGCCTTCATTTGGTGACAAATAGACCCTGAAACTTTGACATCTGCACAAGCAGGAAGTCATCCAACCACAGCAGACTGGAGTAATTATAATATTCATGTATTTATAATACCAAAGCTCTGCTCATAATCAGATAAAAGACAGGAAGACTCTGATATGTTGCTTTAGTCTCAAAAATACCTGATTCATCAGACATCTCCAGAACTTCAGAAATACTGTGACCGCACAAATTTCAGTACAGATCAGAAACTACTTGCTTTCATTCAAAGATGGTCAAATTAGAGATACTGCTCATTTTTCTGTAATGACAGTGCAGAACTCTCATTGAGCAAATATAATCCTAGAGATTTGGTTTATTAACATTACCCTGAGAGGATTCAAACCACAGTCTGCACTTCTCAAGCATGTGCCCTGACTACTGGACTAGGAGCTATTCTTTCTGGAACTCTTTTGCAAGGAACACTGTAAGGATATGAACATAGATGACTAAGAGGTCCATGGCTACTTTGGCTACAAATGAAACAATTAGGATAGAGAAGTAGACAGAATGCTACTATGCTGCCTGGATGGATTTTTATATAGTTACTCTGCTTTCTTTTCCTTAAATGATCAAGCCTTTCACACACACTTTTTGTTAGTATGGTATCTTCAGTATCTACCCTATCCCTATGTGAATGGTCTAGTTCTACTAAAATAAAAATATAAAACACAGAAAAAGCCTTTACCTTGCCTTCACTATAAGAGAACAATTTCCACATATAAACAAATAATTAAATTTAGAAGTTGAAAAAATATGGTGACACTAGTAGAGGGAATAAAAGGGAAAGAAAACACAAAACAATGCTAGACTGACAAAACTCTGTCTGGCATGCAACTGTGATAGCTAAGCAGTAAGAATAATCTAAAGCTGATAAAAGGTATGTCTTTTTCATTTTCTAAGATTTAAAGAAAGTTCCAGGTAACATACCTCCAGATATAGCTAAACTTGATTTGTCCAACAACAAAATAAGACAACTACGAGCCAAAGAGTTTGAAGATGTCAGTGAACTGAAGATATTAAACCTAAACAGCAATGGAATAGCTTACATTGATCCTGGTAAGAATAATTTTAAATATTCATTCAAAAGTGATTTCTATTTTATTAATTATAAACTTTGGTCATGTCTCTATCAGATATAAACATAGGGGGAAACGGATTTAAAAATCTAGAAGCCAAAAAAACGTAATAACTGGGTAATTATGAAAATGTTTTCCTGTTGTAGATAATGCATGTTTTTCCTGTCAGAGATATGCATGTTTTTTTCTAAGCTATCTTCACAAGGTACCAATAACTATTTTTCTATTGACTAGCTGCTTTCTCAGGCCTCAACAACTTAGAGGAGCTGGATCTATCAAACAACAGTTTGCAGAATTTTGAATATGGAGTACTGGAAGATCTTTACTTTCTGAAAGTACTGTGGCTGAGAGAGAATCCTTGGAGATGTGATTACAACATTCATTATCTTTTTTACTGGCTGAAGCATCACTACAATGTCCACTACAATGGCCTAGAATGCAAAATGCCTGAGGAATACAAAGGATGGTCTGTTGGAAAATATGTTCGAAGTTATTATGAGGAGTGCCCAAAAGACAAGCTTCCCATTTATCCGGAAACTTTTGATCTGGACAAAGATGATGAAGAATGGGAGCGACACAAAGAGCAAACAGTTCAAACAGTAAAGAAGCATGGTGTAATTGTCACTGTGATAGGCTAGTAAGGGAACTCTTTTTTTTTTTTTAGTACATTTAAATATCTGATACTCTGAAAAGGAAAACATGCTGTTTACATTTTTTACTAATTATACTGATTGTTTGTAAGACTATCTGCCTGCAAAGATTTCTGTGTATTGTAGATAATAACTACAGAATGGCATTAGTTATCCAGCATCCTTAATCCAGTAATTGTTTCTGACGATTTGTTCTGGACACTCCTGTGAAACATTTTTGGTAAATATTTGAAACTGTGCAGTAGAAATCAATAGACACAAATGTACATAATGTGGTGGGGAGGAGCTATCCTATGTATGAACACATCTTATGTGTTCACACAGAAATAACTGCAGGATTGTGACCAAGACACCTTTTTCTTGAATGTATTGACAGTTCTTTGTATCTATCAGTTTCCTAAAATATTCCCAGAAAGCATTGCTAAGATTTTTGTATTGACTTCCTCTTGTTTCATTGTATACCAAAAAAACCAAACTGAAGACTAACCTTAAATACAATTCTAGAAAAACAGGAATGGCAGTTGTTATACTGATTAGGATTCAAACACAGAAGGTGGGTTCTACTTGCTGATTTACCATTGTTCCTGTTCAGTCTTGAGTAACTAACTCAGCCTCTTCCGTACCTGAGTTGCCTTAAAGCCATGAGTAGCCAAGACATGGTTGGTTCCCAAACTCCAGCTCCACGTGTTCATGATTGCCTTGTTTGGTTTTTGAGGTAGGCAGAGCTGAAATCTTTCTAGGAAGAATTTTAGGCTATCGTATCAGTTTGACACAGATTACATGACATCACTTCCAGGTGACGAGGATCATGTGAAGGGTGCTGTGGTCTGCACCCAACACTCCAGTGCCCATCCAAACCTAAGGTAAGTATGCTTTTGAGAGCTCACTAGAAGTGAGGACATTCTCAAAGTTCACCCTTTCCTCAGCTCATTTGTAAAATGCATGTTATCACACAACTGTCTATGCGAATACACATTAAAACCTGTGGTTACCCTAATACTACAATAATGGAGGTGTACAAATGCCTCAGCTAGGTAGACGAGATCTCTAAAGATAAAATTCCTTCCTACATAATATACTTAGGACAGTAAGAAATGCGTAAGTGCAGGGTAGATATTCAGGGCCAAAACTTTAAATTTCTCTTGGCTTTAAATTTACCTTGGAAGAAGTTCTGGAAAACTCCAGGGAGAAAATTTGCTCCTTTAAAGATCTGCAGACAACTGCAGCATTTGTGCATTCCTCTGGTGCTTTTACCACAAGCCCAAAAGGTCACACATTTTGTTTTTCAAGTGCAATACAAAGCATTCAGTGCTTTTGTACTAACATGAAATAAAAGAACAACATAAAGGAAAAATTCAGGAGTTATTATGGGTGGTAGGAATTCCAAAGAATCTCAAAGCAAACACATCCTATTATAAACTGCATTCCTTCATGTCCTCCTTTATTCAGATTAAGAATATATTTAATGGTGCTTTACTGATAAAACTGAACAATTTAGCCATTTCTTCCACAACATCTTTCAAAAACTTTATAGCAAAAATACAACAGTGTCTGACTCATCTCTGTTCCTGGAAATATCTTAAGTATTATCTCAACTATTAAAGGTTAATCCTGAAAAGATGGAACAGAGAGGAAAATCCCATTTGGCCAGCTATATTCACTACATGGGGTATATTCTGGAAACTTGAAAGTGCTGAAAGTAAAAAAAAAAATCTGGCACAAGCAGTAGCGGGCATTAAGTGAAGTAGTCCTCCTCCTCTCAGATTCTGGAGGATTATTTCAGTAGAGAAGTACTGGGATTGATTGAAAAGGACAGACAATGAAATCACAGCAGAACATCTGTTATTGGCAGCACAGTCAATGGAGAAAAGCTGAGTAGGAAAAAATGCATTTATAAACCATAATAAGTTAATTTCTGCAAAGAGTCAGTATTAGGAAAAAAAATACTAGCTTAAGGTAGGCTAAAGTATGGTAGAAAAGGCAATCTAGGAGAGCAATACAGGATAAAATCTGTGTCAGAGACCTGTGATCTCTGTGGTCAGCAAAAGGTACCGACTGGAAAAGCAGTGGAGTAAGACAGAGGACCAAAAGTAGTGGCCTAATTGCTGTTGTTCAAAGGCCCTGATCCCCAAACAGATCATGAATAACCCTCTTGGGACCAAGGCTAAAACCTGTGGAACACAGTGACAAATAGGACAATTGTTCAGTAGAAGCCAGAGTTAGGGGAGAGGTGTGATCATTCAGGGTTCTCAGACACTGGCACCAGAAAGTGCTGCATCTGCTGAAGGTTCAAGGGGGATAATGAGCTGAACATCCTGCCTTTATCTAACAGCACAGGATATTTGGTGACAGCTATTAAGTGTGAAATCTGTGAGGGAAGAACATATCAACAAGGAATATTGTTCAACAACTACCATGCAAATAAAAGTTTCCATGTGGACTTGTGAAATCAGTGTCAGCTCCAAAGCTCCATGCAAGAGTGGACCTGATTAAGCATCTGGAAATCAACAAATGGAAAGACTTCTAGCAGTGAAGAGAAGAATGGCCTGAAGTTTTGAATGCTGGAATTCTCCTTGGTACTATTTTCCTTAGATCGTCTCTGGAGCTTTCAAGGAATAGCTCGAAGTTCTATTGTTTTAACTACAATGCACTATAATTTTATTCCTTACTGTCTAAAAAAAATTGCACATTTCAGTTTTTTCAATGATACAAGAGAATTGTTATAGAATAGATATAGAACTATTCAAGTGGTGGTTTAGTTCCCTATAATTAAAAAAAGGTGTGTGTGCTTGGTGGAAGCTCTCCTTGAAAACCTAGCTGGAACCTGTTAGGGTTTTCTGCATGTTGGCATTTGCAGACACCCACACTGAGGATGTGGCAGAATAGACAGTAACTGCAACTGCAAGTAATATAAGAACACAACGGAAATATGAGATTGGGGCAAGGGTAATATAGGTTAGCATGTTCTCCTGACAGTGACTAGTAGCAAATTCCTTGAGAAAAGATTGTATGAACAGGAAAAGCATATAGGAGTTAGGAAGATGATGCAGAAGGAGGCAACACAAGGAAATAGACAATAATATATTTAAAGAACACATATATGGGAGAAATGACTGACAATTGATAAAAGCTTTGGCATTATGGGGTTAACTGCTATTTCTCTGAGCTTCTTAAAAATGCACTGTAAAGTACACCCTCCATCAAACATCACATTGACAAACCACAGTTTAATGTTGACATCTCTATGTTTCTATACTATTCACCAAAGTCCCAGAAGCACTTCCATGTCTAAAAGAAAATCATTGGCATTCTTCTTCCTTTATATGCTCTTTGAGTCTCTCCTTTCAGAAATCTTTTGCTTGATTCCCCTTCTTTCTCTGTCCATATCCAGGAAATAATTGCTTGATAGAATTGCATGAAGACAATTGCCTTGCCTTCCTGACATGCAGTACATGTACCAGGAGTGCTGTCTTAAGGGATAAACCACAGTGTGCCTCTCTCTTGATGCCTATGGATTTTTGGATTTTTAGCTTTTCGTAGATTTTAAAGTAGCTGTATTATATCCCTCACCCTTTAGCACAGTAGCTTAAACATTTTCCCAACACTGTTACCCCATTCCATATCACTCCCTCAAAATTCCGTCAGCTTGTTTAGACTTCCCTCAGGGTAGGTCTTCATTCTGTTTAAGAACATCTGCACCCTGGCCTGGACAACAAGATACCACCCAGGCACAGCGACCTTCAAGCCCAGATCTTTGGAGAAGCTCCAATGACTGGACGTGCTGTGGCAAAGAGGAGGATGAGGAAGAAGGCATCCCAGAGCTCCCCGCCTCAATTTCCAGAAGGGTGTGCCAGGGGGAGGGTGCTGGGGGGTGGATAAACCTGGGATTGGATGGGTTAACACCTTAAATTGTGGAACCCCCTGGACATGAGAGGCGCATCACGTGTATTCCTGAGGGCCTCAGGCCTGGAACTAAAGGACCTACCCACTTTATCTTATCTTATACACTAAGTTGGCTCGGAGTCTTGTTTTCTGCTGTCTCTTAAGGCAACACTCTACACAGCCCCATGAAACACAGAAAAGATTATTTTGCACCATATTTTGCCATGACAGAGTGCAGGAAGAAAGAATAGATCCGTCAATACTACGACCACTACTGGAACTAAAACACTTCGAAAGCTTCTGAGGAAATTTTAGCTCCTGCACTATGAATATGGGCGGCAGCATTTAGATGAAGTTCCCAGTCACACATGGAAGGCAAATGATTCTCTAAGATCACTGAAAAGGTGGAGAAATACCACAGACAGCTGAGCTATAATCCATGCATCTCATATAGTGATTCTTCCTTGGCACAGTAACACATTGATTTGCCAAAAAGTCTGAGTTGGAATCATATTAACATTCACATGCAGATATTAGACAATGGCTATTATTTCATTAACACACCACAGTTATAGTACACAAAAACAATTTTTAAAAATTGCAGATAATTAATTTACAAAAAAAAATTAATATGCTTAGCCAGCTGAACATACCTAAACCACAGTTAATATAACTGATGCCTTAACACTAACAATAAATCTGTGTTGCCAAAATCTGTGCAATTTTGGATTCACTTGAAAAGATGACATCAGAACCATAGCTTGGGGAAGTTCAAATGGAAAGGTTCATCACATCTGCAGCCTATAATTGAACAGACAGTTCAACTCAGTTTGTACGCTGCAAAAATGTCAAAAGAAGAGAATATCAATATGATTTTCAATCACTAAAAAAAGATAGAAAAATTGTTTTGCAGCAATCTTAAACTATCCACAAGAGCTTCAAAAGAATGGCACAAGTAGGCTGTATGATAAATATCAGTGAGTTTTAACATAAAAACGTATGCAATGAATCTAAATAGAAATAGTGCACTGATTTATATGTGTTCCATGCTTAAAAAGAATTACTGTGTATCTTCAAAGTTAGAAGAAACAGCTCTACAAATCAATGTTTTCTAAAAGCCCCTGTAGACTGCCACATTTGTCTCATCACAATTTGTTTAAAATAGCACTGAGTAGATGCAAGTGGACATAATCTTTGATTTTGAGCCTACAGAAAACATTAATTATCAACAAAAATTGGAAAATGTATTGTTGATATGTATACAAATTGAATTTAGTGTCTTTGATATGTGAGAGAAATGGAAATGGATGGCAACCAACATACTGATGTTCAAATAGATATAATCAACACTAGATATGAATCAGTTAAATAATTTGACAGAAAAGGCAGTTAGTGTATAAAATTCTATCACAACTGTTCTTTACATGTTTTTAGCTCTAAACACAATAAATGTTACTATGATTTTAGTTTTGTACAAAAATACATAAGGAAAACAAGATCATAGAAGGATTTAACATTTCTAAGTACATCACCCATAAAGGATGTGATGTGGCTGGCTATGATTTATTTTTGGTTTGCTTTCTTTATTAGCTGTCAAAGTTCATTATGATATTGGATTAAATTCTTTCACTAAACGACAATGCTGATATCATTGAAAATGTTATTTTAGCCTGTGATTTAAAAGCCAAGACCATGATCAAATATACTTTTTATTCTTGGCCAATTGTTCTTTTTCGTCACCAATCTAGAGAGCAAATTGTTCTCACCCATAATTACAGTCACTTTCTAAAACAAAACAAATCACACTGAAATTGTTATAGGTTGCATCAATAATTTCAATCATGTTTTCAATCTATTTAAATAATACTTGTATTATAGTCTCAAAACATCAAAATATGCTTTTTCATTTCAAATATTAAAAAACTATTTCCTTTTCTTTTTTATGTATTTGCATTCAATTAAAGTGTAGGCTAGAAAAGAGTCAATCAGCAACATTCCCCTGCTACAGAAATACTGAAGTAAAACTGTGCCAGGAACCAAAAGCATTTCTTGCTATCTTGCCTAGCTGTAGCAGAAGAGTTTTTCTCATGAAAACACTACCTCAGTGTTTTCCCACTCTTCATGATAAAATGGCTGAGTAACAGTTAGGATGTAGGTGATTCCTAACGAATCAATACAACTTCACAGTTAGCACTGAACCTCTCACACTGATTATAGAGGCTTTTAGTTTTCCTGCCTACTTCTCTGCTTAGTGGAGCATACAACCACATTGAAAAAAAGATTACTGACCTGAAACTATTGCAAAATGCTATCACAAAGGGAATTAACTGCTGATCACACAGTCACATGTACTTCCACACATAGTATCAGGAAGGACTGAGATGATTTTTTACATCCAGAGGGACTCTGTTTTGGCAGTAGAATCAAGTACCAATTATTTGTGCTAAAACTTGAATACCACCAGGTTGAACATGAGCCTGCGATGTGCCCTTGCCACAAAGAAGGTGGATGGTATCCTGGGCTGCATTAGGAGGAGTGTTGCCAAGAGATCTAGAAAGGTGATCTTTCCCCTCAGCACTAGTACTGAGGTACTAGTACACTTGGGGTACTGCGTCCAATTCTGGGCTTCCCAGTACATGAGAGATTCCAACATGGGGGCAAAAATATGACTAAGGAGTTGGAAAGTAGTTCCTGTAAGGAAAGGCTGAGAGAGCCTTCAGTCAGAGAAGGCTCAGGGGGCTTGTACCAAGGTGTAAAAATACATGGTGGATGGGTGCAAAGATGGAGCCAGGCTCTTCCAGTGGGGTCAAGTGACAGAGGAGACAAAAGACAATGGGCACACACTGAAAACACAGAAGGTGCCGTCTAAACACCAGAGCACAGGTTGGAATCTCTGTTCTTGGAAGATATTCAAAAGCTGTCTGGCCACAGTCCTGGGCAACCAATTCTATGTGTGCCTGCTTGAGCCAGGAGTTGGACCAGATACCTCCAGAGAACCCTGCCAACCTCAACCATTCTGTGATTCTGTGGTAATTATCAGGAGTGTTGGATTCTGTCATTCTGTTATATTAAAGCACATGTTTGCAATCCAATCTTATTTGTCATATGACAGCATTTCATACATAATATAAACCATTCTATGGCATTCTAGCAATGTTCAGTCATATGGATATGGCTGGGCCTGAAGACTGGAATGAAGGAAGGAGGGCTGCATTTAAAGTAATTTTACAGATCTCATACTCACATCACTTCATTATGGCTGAACATACAGAGAAAAATATAGGCAACAAAATGAGACAATGGAGAAGCATGGAGTGAAGACAGTTTGAAGAGAGAAATACAATTAAAAAGAAAAAGAAGTAATATTTACTGATACTTTAAAGCTAGGCCAGTGAAGAGAATAGCAACCTCAAAGATTCACACATAACACATATGGATGACATTTGTGCATAATATTTACTACATATTTATATACTAAAATGTCCCATGTCCATAACCATTTGCAGTACTGAATTACTACTTCATATGCCGAAATATATCGGATACGTAACACTTAAAATGTGCAGTTCTAAGTATGAAGAAGAAACCAGAAAGGAACACAGTTAATAAAATCCTATGTCATTTTTCCTAAAGCAACTTTTATATATGAGAAGTTTTATGCTTGTAATGTAATTACTTTCATAACTGTACAATAATACATCAATGGCAACAGTTTAAACTTGGTATGGTAACTGGCTGATAGCAAAAATACAAAAAAACTTTATAATTTTATTCCATATCCTCTCACTGAAGAGATTTTTTTTCTTAATAATATACATTTTCAAAGAATTTTCACTTAAGATATGTATGTTAATAGTAAGATGTCAACATGAAAACAGAGCAAAAATTCCACTGTGGTTTATAGAAGAGTATTCCCATATTAGCTATGCAACCTTCCATACAATAATGCACACACCAAAACGTGGTTTTCATTATAGCAGTATATTAGGTATGATTTGAAATATGCTCCAGAAAAATGATTGCATACTCTGTACAGGGTCACTCAAACAGTACAGTCACAATTTTGAGTCCAATAGAGGCTTTGAGACTCAAATGAGTGTTGCACGCAGAAGCAACACACATAAAGCCTTTCTAAAAGTAAAGAAATAATTGCAAATTTTGTTTCACTTCTGGAAATCAAGATAGCTAAGAAGTGAAGAGAGTGACTACCTGTGTAAGTGTAGAGTGCTTGGATTACTGAACTGTAGATTATCTTGATTATACAAAAATATACTTCATAGTAAATGAGTCACTAAAAATTGTTAGAATCAAAAAGGGGTGTTCTTTAAGAGAAACTTTTTATTCTGATTTATATTCTGCACAGTTCTACTGAAATGAACTGAACTGAAAAACATTGTCAACTAGAACCCACTTCTATCACAGAGATTAAGCTCAATTAAAAGAAACATGCACAAATCAAGAGTATTCTATCGAGATTTAAAACGATTTTCTGCCTCAACCTATAGAAACTATCGAAAGGCCATAATTCATTAGCTAGAAAAGGACAAATCAGGTAGGAAAATAGCTGATAATGTGTCTTTTCCCACTAGCATTTAAGCACATAGGTAATACATTCAGGCAATTTGCCTGCTCCCAAAATATGCTGCTGTCCAACAAGCTGTTCTGTTCATTTCATATAAACTACTCAAAACAACTTAAAAAATCAGGTTTTCTAGCTTTATGTTCTTATTCTGGAATCTTGGGAGCTTGCTATAGCCATACTCATTTTAAAGATATTTAGGTGGTTCAGAATGCAGTTGGGGACTTACAAAGACTTTTTAAGGTGCAGAAATGTGTAGGTTCTCTTCAGTAGCAAATTCTTCCTGTACATCCCTTCATCCATGATCGTTATAGTTGGATCCATCACAGACAGCTCTACCCAAAAGTCTGTTTAATTTGGACATGTGGATTATTTCCTTAACTTCAAAACTCAACCTAATTTAAAACTCAGTGTCAAGACCACAGCAGCCACCTCTAATACACAGCAATCATTTTCTGTCAGTAACTCAACATCAGAGTACTGTGGTACCAATGACTTTTTTAGGAAACTATAATTTCCAAAGCAAATGGTTTCCAGCTGGCCCCGAGGACAGATCTTGTCCAGCCGTAAATACAAACTGGCAGATATTTTTTTCTACACAAGAGCAGAACAGAAAGCTGCAATAAATGATAGCACACTAATAATTATATTTACTAAATACCCTGTGATTTTGAAATGAACCACCATGAAATACAATCCACAGTGCCAGAGACAATAAAAGATCCCTATCATAGGTTCTAGAACTTTGAGAAGTCCAGGCATGCTTTATTTTCCACAGTCTTGCTCAGAGCACACACAGATTTGGCCTGGAGGAGACAACACCCAGTAACAATCCCCTGTGGAAGGAGACTGTATCTACATACTGGATTCACCAAAAAGAGAACATTAAGATTCACAGAGGGAGAGAAAGGAAGAGAGGAAGGAAGAGCAAAAGGAAGAGAGAAAGGAAGAGAAAAAGGAAGAGAGAATGAGCTCTGCCTTTCTGCAGCAGATGGTTAGGTGCTCAGCTAGAGCAAACCTCTGGTCAGTCTTCTAAACAGGAGAGCTCTTTCTGCAATTCCCATATTGAATAAATTAGTAACAGCTAAAGAAAAAGAAACCAGGTGACAGCCACACAGATTTGTAATTCTCTCCGGATCAAGGGAGCTGCAATCTTTTCAAATTCAAAATGGAAGCACTTCATTAGGCTTTCTGCTTTTCTGTAATAATTTTTGTTCCCTCTGTACTTTACACATAAATAAAGCCATTTTTTTCTAGCTTGCCCCAAAGTTCCACAGACCTAATTTCCAGCCCACAAACATATTAACTTGCATGATTTATCACACACAGACAAAATACTTGCAAAAATACTTTCAGCACAGCTGGCTCAGCCTGTTCTCTTTTGTGTGTCTTGAAAGAGATCCTACAGAAGGTGCTCCCCAGCCCTGAATGCTTCCATGTACCCCTCCCCAAAACCCTGCACTATTGCTGTTGTCTTCTGGTTGATAGCAGTTCCTAACCCTCTGTATCCTAAAAATTGATTTGCTCTTTTTTAGCAACGTGAGTTCTTCTGAGCCATTAGGCTTATTATGTATTATAATGATTGATTGTTTGATTCTGCATTTTAAAATTAATCGATGCCATCTCATCTGCCCCATATTATCAAGATATCCAGAAAATACTGGCAAGGGATTCATGCATTGCTTGAACTTTAAGATGGAGGCCTATCTGGTTTAGCCTTGCCCAAGATATCCCAGGGCATGCTGAATTACACCAGATACCTATCTTTTAGGTGACTTTTTGCACCAAAAATGTCTACAGAATTGTACACAATACAAACATACACAATTAAAAAATGATTCGGTTATATGCATTCTAATCTAATTATGGAAGTCAAACCAATCATTGCAACTGCTATTAAGAATGAAAACAATTTAAGACTATTATTCCCTAAGAATGCCCTGATACTCTCCAGAAACAGGACATCTTTAGTGAACTCAATCTAGTCAGACTAAAATTTTAAGTATTTTAAGATACCAACCTGTCTTCTGACCTTTTTTTTTTTGATCTTTACTCCACCTCCACCTCTCATCATGCATTCCCTCTAACTGAAGCTAGGACTACAAGTCTGTGATCCCTCGTGTTTTATCCCTATCACTGTACTCTTCACTTCCTAGAAAAAGCATCCCAACTTATTTCACCCTGTATTTCTGACATACATACACTCCATTTCCCTAACACCTCCCAAGCCAGTTTTGCATTAGCATCACTGCTCAGTCTTCAGAGAAGAGTACCAGCACCATCTGTCCTAGCAAAGAATACAGGGACCTGCCTCTCCTGGCACTCATGACAAGAAGTTGCCACAGCTCAACTAATGAATGGCATCCTGCAAAAAGAGAGATGCATAAATTATTGGACCAGCTATATTTAATTTATACATCATAATTTTCTATTATATAATATGTATTTTTTTCTTATGCAGAGCAGCTATATAGACTTACATGTCTTTTTTTCCTTGTGAATCTGCACCCACATGTTCCACTTCTGCATAATAACTCTTAATATTTGGACATAATAATGGTCTTATGCTAGAGCCACCTTCCACTTTGGCTTTTTTCTTTTTCTTCTAAAAATGTAAGTGGATCTTCTGGATGTGCAACAAATACATCACAAAGCAGCACCTGCAAAAAGAAACTGCAAATTAACACCTTAGTATTAATAGCAAAGTAGCATCTAGTTATGAAACTAGTTAAAATAAACAGAAATTTACCAGGATCTTTTAAAATACTGCAAAATAGAGGCATTTCTTTTTATCACTTGCCTTCCCTTTCATTCAATTTTTAAAGGTAATATTGCATTTATCATATTTCAATTGCTAGACTTCAAAGCACTGGGTTTAGGATAGTAATAAAATATGTGGCATTTCTTTAACAATTCCTACTAAGAATTTCGTTGCTTTTAACATGTGTTAAAGAAAAAATATATAGAAAATTAGATCATTTTATTTACTTAATGAAAACCAGAATTTAATACAAGTTTAATACTGTGTAGTAAAGAGTATGTTGAAGGGGAAGCTGGACAAAAATTGAACCAGCATTGAAAACAAAATGTGGCTTAAAAAATATTTGCTTTTCAGGGTTGTTTTATCATACAACTTTGCATTATCTTTTAGTAAGCAAAATAACCAATGAACCATTTTTCTCATTTGTCCTTTAGCTGTCTTCAAGGTTTACTTTTGGACTTCAAGCTCACATACAGCAAGAAAATCCAAAGTATATTGATTGCCTAAAGTATATGGACAAACTGCAGTTATTTAAGTGAATATTTAAAGGAAACTATTAACCGGAAATTCTTGTGCCTGGTAAAAATTTCAAAACATGACATGCAATACTAATTCCCTTTCAAGACATGGCCTCTTGCTATTACTAAATTAATTTGGAGCATGTGCTTGAATCATTTTCAGGAAGTATGGTGGGAGGACAGAAGTTGTGGATGCCCTGTTACTGGAAGTGTTCAAAATCAGGCTGGATGGGACTTTGAGCAAACTGATGGAGTGAAAGGTGTTCCTGCCCACAGCGAGGTGGTTGGACTAGATGATCTTTGAAGGTTTCTTCTAACCCAAACCATTCTATGATTCTATGCACCTAAGTTAAGACCAATATGAAAAGGTGAAGAAAATTATTCATTTATGCACAGACAAAGTGAAAGGCCACTGTCTTCAGTTCAGACACCTTGAATATTTACAACACTAACCAACACACTGATTCCAGCTTAAACATCTCTTCAATGTTCTCAACAAAAACATAATTTGCAAGGTATATCTTGATGGTTGACTATATTAAGAAAATACTATAAATCCATCCCTTATCATTTTAGTTCTTGACATGTAATATCTTTTTAAATAATGGACAGTTGAATGGCTTTCATCACAAATTTTCCTATAGACAGATTTCCCAAAGCCAATCCCAGTGTTGGTCAGCTACTCCCTCTGCTGGATTAAGCCACGACGTGTCTGTTACACCTATGCCATTTTTTTATTCAAGATTTTTTTACCTTTATTTTCCTCCTTTTTCAAACAAACACAGACAACTTCTCCTTTTGATGTTCTGAAAGGTCTCCAACACAAGAAATCCAAACTATACAGCCATATACTGGATTGCAATTCCTTTGTTTAACATTTTAGAATGTTAATTACTTAATAAAGGAAGGAATTTTAACACCTGGTCTTGCAATCCTCATTCAGGCACTCTTCAGTGTTGCTTGGACAACATGTAAAATTGTAAACAACTATATCCATTATGCCAAACAATTATGCCTGTACAAGTCTGGCTATTTCTATCAGACTTCTACAAGGCTCTCAACAATGTGAAGGAGTCCATCATCAATATTTCTCACCCATTCTTCTTCCTACCACTTTAGCCATTTACACGCTTCATGGCAAAATTAATTTGGATCACACAGAAGAAAATAAAAAACTCTGCATCCATATTTAATTCTAACATTTTAAGAATACAGCTACTTACAACAGTGAAGGTTGTTGTACACAGAGTGTTTGCAGGATTACAGTTTGCCTGACTTCTAATGAATACTGTTTAAAAGTAACTTTGGAGGAGAACTGAAAGGCAGGAAGGAAATGATCAGATGCAGCAGGGAATCCTAAATTATTTGGACAAGACTACTTGGACTCCAATTGTGTTTGGACCAAGTCCAAACCACAACCTCCTCATAAAAAGACTTAAGCAAATGGCCATCTTAGAACTCTATATCCTTAATTTTGAGAATATGCGTATAAATGTTCCAAGGTCTCATCTCGGCTTTGATGTTCCTTAATACAAGGACCAGTATCATCTCATTTATCTTCACACCATGCATACTGTAACTTCCTAAAAAAATTAAAATATAATAAAAATAAACTAGAAACATGGCTGGATACCAGCAAGCATCAACCTCTAAGAAACAAGGAAAAAAAAAAGATAAAAATATTTTACACAGGGTAATTTTTAACTGGTTCTTTCTTTTAAGAATCTCAAATCTTATCCTTAACTCTTTCATTTTTAGTTCATTAACTTAATGCCACTGCTGCTATAATGCTGTGAATAGCTATAATAGCTATAATGCTGTATATAGCTATACTAGCTATAACTTTTGCTTGGAAAGGTAGACGAGCTATTTTTGAAGTGCTGAATCAGGAACTACACCTCATGCAAACATATATTTTGTTTTTCTGTGCTTAAAAAACAAGAATTATCTAGAGACAGACTCTCAGGAGAGGTACTCGGTCTGCATGGTAGTACTGCTCTCTAATTATTCTAATTGGCTCAAGATTTCTTTATTAATGTTTCCATGGAAATCTTGGCTGTAATAGCTGCTTGCAAATGAGGTCTATTTTGGTAACTTAAAAGTATCAGGATGTCTCTTAATCTTGTACTTGTGCGTTGTGCTTTTCTTTGTTTGAAGGAAACTGAAAAACAGCTGCTGCAGATTTGGAAACAGAGATTAACGTGTCAAATGAGGAGGAAACCAACGGAATAGAGAATCACGTTAAGAATCCCAAGGGCAAATCCATCAACTCTGTTTCCCCCACAGTCCTTCATGTTGTGCCAGTTTCTAACATTTCGTGGAAGGTTATTTACTCCTGTGCCAACAAAAATACCTAAGCCACCAGTACCTGAAGCGTGGTCCAGCCTCACCTTTATCTTTGACAGGTCATCAAAAACCATGGATTGCACCCACAGCACTCAAAGAGGAGGGAATTATCTGCTTGAAACCTAGAGGTGCTTCTGTAATTAACACTGAAGAACTTAAGCATACCAATGCACTTCACTGGGTTTGCCTTAATTTCAGTCCTCGTTTAATACGTTTAAACACGTACCAAAAAGCAGAACGGCCTTGCTCCATCTTGTTTCTATTTTTAAAGTTCTCATAAATTGTTCGAGGCAGGCTGTTGACAAAAGAAGCAGAACAAAAACACGCCCTAGGCCAGCAGAGGGCGGTGTTAAGGGGTGCGAGATGCGCTGGCCAGCGCTGAGGGGCCAAGGGGACCCTCCATGGGGAAGGCGGGGCGGGCGCCTCCCTCCGGTCCCACTGGCTCCATGGGGGACCAGGCTGGACAACTAGCGGGTGGTGGGGTCCAGAGGCGGCGGAGGGGGCTGACTGCCCCACCTCTGGGGACGATGTGCCCCCGCGGGGCTGCCATGGCGCAGGACCGCCCTTGCCTCGGGCCGGCCTGGGGGCGCGGGTAATTCCTTCCTCTGAAACAAAAGCTGCATCGCAGCGTTGTGAGGGCCGAGCCTCCTCCGCGTCCCGCACGCGGAGCTGCCGGCTCAGCATCCCCCCGGCCGCCCAGGGGAAGAGAAGGGCAGATCCGGGGCACATCGCCCGGCTGCCCGGGGGACGAGGGACGGTGGAGCGCCGCCGGATGGGGCGGTGTCTTCCGCGGGCGGCGCAGCCGCGGCCCGGGCGATGGGGGAGCCGCGGGGCGCGGCGCTGAGGGCGGCGGCGGCCGCGCTGCTCGGGGCCGGCGCCTGCTACTGCCTGTGGCGGCTGACGGCGGGCGGGCGGCGGGCGGGGGCCGCCCGGGGGCCGCCGGCAGGTGAGGGGCGGAGCAGGGCAGGGTAGGGCGGGGCAGGACAGGCAGTCCCCTCCTCTCCCCGCGGTGTGCGGTGGGGGCGGTGGAGGCTCCGCGGGGCCCGGGGGGTTCCCAGCCTGCGGCTGCGGCTCGGGGGCGGATCCGCGCCCTGCGGGAGGCGGTGCCTCAGTGCTGCTCGCCGGCCCTCCGAGAGCCGTGCGGCGCTTTGGAGGACTCCGGAGCGTAGCTTATTTTTAGAAAAGTCTAATTTGTGTTGGGTTTTGTTTTGGTTTTTTTTTCAAGTCCCCTAAAGCGTGCGTCTGATCACTGTATTTACTTAATGAGCTGATTTGTTGTTACGTTATTAAAGTTATTTGTGTTCCCCCTATAATTCAAAGTTAAAGTGTTTAGACGAGGATGAGAGTGAAAACCGATTTTGTTTTTGAAGTGAGCTCTTGGATTATCATCATTATCTTTGACCTCTTTTTTTTTTTTTTTTAAACCCCCGAAGAATACTGTGGTGTTTGCCTGGTGAGATGGTGGCAGCAGATCTGTGGAATTTGAAGGACCGGTTAGCTTCTCAGGTGTCGTCTCAAGCCAGCTATGACTAGTCCAGCAGTCATAAATCAGGTCTCCAGGCTCTTCAGCTTAGCTAAATAGTTCTGCCTCCTACTGAGTGAAAATGGCCTTTGATGGCATTTGTGTCACCCTCTTATGAAAGCCAGGTGTTCCATAACATCTTCCTGACTCAGAAACAGGCTTCCTCAGTTGTTTAAGTGATGCCATGACCAGCAGTATTCTTAACATTGCAGCTGTTACTTTGTCAAAGGACCTCAGGGTACTAGCAAAATTGTCATTATTATAATTTCTGGTAGTAGTAGTCTGCAAATCAGAAGTTTTGTTTTCCTACAGTGCCCAGACAGATTTCCACATTTCATTTCATAGGCCACTAGGAAAAAAAACCCCCAAACATGTTTGGTGAATATTCCTAATAATTTTTAATGGGAGGTTTGCTGTTCATCAGTCAGAGAATAACGTACCTCAGGCTCTAATTGTGCGTTCCTTTTATTCTCTACTTTGAAAATAGGTAATTAGACGACTCAGTGAAAAAGGATGGAAAGCTTGCTGTTGTAAAACAGTCTTTTTACCATGACGTTCTGCTTGGGTACAATCAAACCTAGAACAATGTGTCCTGCAACTGAGAGCTAAATTTCAGCTTTGTAAAAAACGCTAAGGGTAACTAAGTGAAATGTCTCAAACTTGGTATCAAGTATTTAATTTTTGAACACTGACAGACAGCAGTCCTCCAGTGTCAACCCATGGCATGGATGTGGATGCTCTACAGAAACTGATTCATTTGCTCCAGGCCACAGATGATCCATTAATTCAAGAGCAAGCTTTAATCACTCTCAGCAACAGTGCTGCCTTCTCTGTAAATCAAGTAAGTATTGTTCTGTAGAAAACAACATGTCTAATGCCAGCCAGTCTGGCAGATGAGAGGTGCTGTTTTGCTGAAGTGATGCAGGACAGAAAGCTACGATAGCTTGTGCTCTAAAATCCATTTTATGTCTATGCCTTAATTTCTGCTAGCCCAAATAATATAATTTACCAGCTTCACAGAATTCATCAAAGCATAATGTTTGGACAACCGAAAGTCCTTACAGAGCTCTATTTTGAAAGTGCTGTAAATATACTTTTTTTTTTTGCTTACAGTTATGTAATGTTAGTGAAAGGGTTGAATTGGAGGTTAAGCGCTTTCAGTTTCACATCTGCAATTTACTGAGATAAACTAATTTTTTATTCTCACAAAGTTTTATGCTGTTTACATATTAGCAATTTTCCAACTATCCAGGTATCTTCCAATCAACTGGACGTAGGATGCAGAAAAACTTTGAGCTGGATGCAGATTTTCATGTCTTTGTAAAAGTTTAACCTCCAAGGTCCCACTCTTATTTTTTTTTATTTTATCCTTTTTGTATGGTACTTATGACAGCTGTCTATTTTGGCTTCTCAAAACTGTTTTCTTAATATAAATCTGATAGAACAGATTGTAACTGAAGCCCAAGGCTCATTGGCCCATTCTTCATTTTCTTGAAAACAGTACATTTTTTTTCAGTGACAGTTAGAGTCTAAGTGAGAAAGATTAAAATAGTAATCAAATCAAGTGTAATGGAAAGGAAAAAGTTTCAGAACTTCTATCATAATATGAAGCTGCATCTTGAAATTCTGTTCTTTTCAGTCAAGACTTTTAGGTACTGTGACCTGGCTCAGCTGTTCTATAAAGTCATTATGCAATAACTTTCTTTGATTCTTTATAATCTAAAATGCTTTAAGCATGTTTTGCAGGCCAGATTTTAAAAGTAAAGGCGTTGTGCCATTGTCTAGTAACATCAAATAATACTTTGTCCCTAAGCAGGACCATTCTTAATTTCAGGGGAGGCAATAAAACAGTATCTGCCAACCGTCTCTCTTTAAACAGACCACCAGTCTGTTCTGGAAGTCTTCATTCACACATTTAATTTTTTTAAAATGGAAACTTTGAGAAAAGCCTTCAGCATTTAAAGTTTTAAAAACTGTATTAAATATCTTTTATATTTCAGGATATAATCCGAAGTTTGGATGGCCTTTCTGTTATTGGAGGGATGCTCTCTGATTGCATTCCCAAAGTTAAAGAAAAAGCACTAAATGCGCTTAATAATTTGAGTATGAATATTAGAAATCAGGAAAAGATACAGGTAAGTTTCTTAAAAGGAAAAACCAAAGTAACCAAGGCACAGGAGATAGTACAGAACCTTCTGCATGTTTGTTAAAGACAAGCCAGGATGCCAAAATGTTTTGATGAGAGGCATACGAGTCAGCAGATTGGATGATCTGTGCATCCCAAGAGTGAAAAGATAACTTAGAAATTAATTCCTTCACTGGCACTTACTTTTATTTTAAAAGATAGGAAACTAGGCAGCTTGTGTTCAGCTTTCACCAAATGTTATTAAACAGAGATTGTGCTGCTACGTTTATAGTGGAATTATGTGAGGCAAGATGATTTCCAAACATCCCAAGTACAGCAGCAGTGGTTGTTTAATACAATGGATTGCAGACTGAACTTGGCAGGACTCAGGCAAGGGAGAAGAAAACAGTAATTGAGCCCCTGGGTTTGTGTGAGACCAATTTTTCAGGTGATACTTTCATCTTTAAAGAACAGTGTGTATACATGAATGCCAAGTTCCACTGGTAAATGTAGTGGATGCTGTGGAAATAAAAGGACTAAGAATCAAGAAAAAACCCTACTTTTTGTCATTATCAGATTAATCAATAGATCAAGAAGTGTCCAGGCAGAGAGCTGAGGCAGATTTGAAGACTTTCACTGTTTTTTTTTCAGTAGCTTGATAAAAAGGCAGTGTGATTGTATGTGGTAGTTTGCAGGATCTTTAGCAATGGACAACTTTTATTACATACATTTTATAGACATAGTGCTTGCCAATATTTGTATAGGTAGAAAATAACTCCTTTGGTAAAGGCAAAGTAACTTTTTTCTTAGTTAGGACTCTGAGATTTATTGTATATTGTCATCCAAAAGAAAATTTGGTAAAAATAGTTGTTAATGTCACTTGTCATCACTGTTCCTACAGTGCTTCAGTAAATGAGCCACATGATTGGAAGAAAGGATTTCATTCCAAGGCTTGTCCTTAGCTTGTGCTCAACATTGAAGATATTAGTTGCTATAAGTGATTTTTTTAAAATAACTCCTTAAAGCAGCTGTGCCACTTCTGATATGGAGTGAAAGCAATTTAGGTTTTCAGAGCAATTTATGCTTCAGAAAGGTTAGTAGGCTCTGTCTGCTTCTGTCGTGCCAACAGAACATTTGAATGTATTTAAACCTAAAAACTACTTGTTTCCAAGATCCTTCACTATGCTATGTATTCAGCCAGCAATATTCAGGAGGTATTTATGCAACTGTAATTAGGCCATGGATACTATTTGTGAACAGAAAATATGCTTGTATCAAAAACTGTCTTTTCTGCACCTCCTTCCCCTTTTCCCCAGGTATATATTACACAAGTTTGTAGGATCATTGATACAGCTCCCCTCAACTCTGATCTGCAGCTAGCTGGACTCAGGCTGCTGACAAACATGTCTGTTACCAATGACTACCATCAGAAGATGATAAACTCAATTCCATGCTTTCTTCATTTGCTTTCAGAAGGAACCGAAAGGACACAGGTACTGAGAGGTGTTATTGTTACAAGCCATTTATGAAGCTGCTTTACTTGCCTTCTTTTTTACTGTTTTTGTAAAACAGTTGAGACTGTGCTAAGGAAAAACAAACCCAAATATTCATGAATGATAGCAGATACAGATTTTGTGCACTAAAATATGGATCTATATTACTTTCACAATATAAATTCAAAAAGGGGGGAGGGAAGGGAATCCTGGTAGTGGAACCATTGGGCTTGAGCTCTACTAAAGCAGTGCAGGATGCAGGGTGTCCTGTGCCTTTGCTATAACAACTCTAGAATTCTCTCCTGCTCTGCACCACAGAGCAAAGAGAATCTGCATGTGAAAGGGTTCACTGATGCATGAATCTCTAGGGAAACATGCTGAGCAGTGATCCTAAGTTATGAACTTCTGTTCCCTTATGCCTATTACACCTCTTGCAACCCTAGTGACTGCAGTGGGAAATCGTGCTTACTTGTGAATTACTGTAATATTGAAACAAGAGCTTCAGTCAGGGACCAAACAGCATTTATTCAAGATGTTGTGGTACCATCAGTGTACATGGTTGCTCTCAGATCAAAGCCAGTTTTCCAAAACACAGATTTCCACTAAACATAGCACACCTATTTTACTGAAGTACAATAAGGAACTTGGCCTTTCCTCACTGTTTATTTAAAGACTAGTGTCACAAGGTCCAAGAAAGTACAAAGGTACATTTGTATATGCTTCTGGTCATTTTAAATATAGTACTTAACCATCCTCTCTGTATTTTAAAAATATTCTGCAGTTTGCCTACTGGGAGTTGTTTATAGATTTTGCCTTATTTTGATGTTAAAGTTGAACTGAATTTGCTTCTAACATGTCTATACCTTGGTTTTCCCCTATACCAAAGAAGTGCACAACTCAGGGTGTTAGTTGACCCATTCTACCTTTTCCTGTACAAGTCAACACTGACGTTATTGATTCCTATTACTGCTGTACTTACTGTTTTGGAGCTTGTAATGAACTTGTATGCTCCTCATTTCAGATTCAAGTTTTGAAAGTACTTGTGAACTTATCTGCAAATCCAGCCATAACAAGACATCTTCTCAGAGCTCAAGTAAGGTTCTTGCTGCTTCATTTTATTTTTAGAATATATACACGTGTACCTGTTTAGATATATGCATGCACTAGAAGAATTTTAATGTATTAGAAATATATATGCAATTCCAGAGTAACATTCTAGGCAGTACTTGGTTAAAAGCAGTTGTTAGAAGTGCACATTCTTTCACAGGCTGCCTTTCTTCCAGAGGGTAGTGTAACACAGATGCTGTACTTGCAGAGGGACAGGCACAGGGCCCTACGGCCTTGGAGACAGTGGGTTGTACTTCTGGTGCACCATTACTGATAATCAATGATAACTTGCACAAGCCTTTCCACCAAAGGGGTAGTACCAAGAACTTCAGTTTGTAATATGTATAAGGAACCCGAAACCTCATTTCCAGGCACACAGTCAGTATATGGATTGAAGACCAGGAGCAGACATCAAATAGAACCAGTAGTGTAAATGATCCTTCTCAATAGGTGTTTCTACAGTCAATATACTGTACCAAAACCAACCAAATTCCACTGAAATCCCCACCCCTTTACTCAAATGCAGTCATAAAATTATTGTCTCTAAGTGAACTTTCCCTGTGCATCTACTTACATCTTCTTGGAGAACTTTGGGACATTTGCTGTGCTGGCCTTGGCACACAGGTTTGTTTCAGTTTCATTCCCTCACACCAAAACAAAGAGTCAGGGTTGGAATGGTGCTGCATCCTCTTCCCCAAAGTAACTTTCTTAAAACATGCAGTGGCCTTTATTTGTGAGCTATCTGCTGTCAGCAGAGCTAGTCTAGATACTACTGTCTTTTCAGTATCCAAACAAGATCAGGGTAGCTAAATATTCAGTTCTGTTAAAAGTGCATCCTTTTCTCGTTTATCAGAAGTGCTAACATAAAAATATTCAGATTGCTGCAGAGAGCAAAATCAACATTACTGAGAAGGAAAGCAGACCCTCTCTTCCAAATAGCAATTTTCCAGCCAGCCACATTTTGGAGATTGAAAATACAAAGTATTTATTAGGATGTTGATGCACAAGCCAGTCTTTTCTAAAGAGGAAGTATGTGCATACTGTGCAAGTTTCTGACATGCTTTCACAACATACAAAGTTTCTGGTTTAGGTGCAAATTTTTTTTTCATTTTCTTAAGTTAGATTTGGTTACATGTACTTACTGCTGGTGATTAAGTATGGAATATTTCTTGAATGTCCTAGGTGCCATCATTGCTATTACTTTTTGACAACTGTATAAACAGAGATATTCTGCTCAGAGCCCTGGCATTTGCAGCAAACTTGAAAAAGAACATGAACAATGAAGATGGCACCGTAACTGAGGACCAATACAGTGAAGACTCGATTTTCTTTACACTCTGCAGAGACTCTGCCCCATTTGCTCAGAAACTGGCGTTTTTGCTGCATCACCCCGATATAGAAGTGAAAGAACAAGTTGTGAGAATATTAACACAATAGTGTTGTTTTCTAAAAACAGACTGACCTGATGAAAATATTTAATCTTGGGAATGCTATGCTAAAAAAACCTGCAACAAGCAAACAATAAAACAACAATGACAAATAAACCCTGAATACTACCATATTACTAGGCACAAATCAGTTACTGCAAAAGAGTATTTAATATAGAGAGCATAACAGATTTTTTTTTACAAGCAAGAGAAAAGCAATAGCTTAATCAACTACAGTGCAGTTAACCCCAACTGTGCAAAGTTTCTACACTTGAACAAAAATTGGAAGGATTTTATTTTGCTTTAAAATCGTCACTTTAAGGAAAGCAGGCATATTTTAAAAAATATTTTATTAAGAGTCAAACGTTATCTGCAACTGCAATTTAGTATTCTCGTCTTTTTATAAAGAAGACTATGAGAACAGTATCATACACATTTTTACAAAAGCTTCCTATTCTGTAGCAGCCCTTGAACCTGCTTTATTTGGAGAACTTTACTCTTTTTTTCTGCAACTGGAACATCATTGGAATAAGTGCTTCTGCTGAATTAGCCTCCATAAAATTTAAGTCATCAATTGAGCATTAATTCAAAATGAAGTGGAATACATACAAAATCACTGTAAAAGAACCTGAATGGAGTTTCATTGATGAACAGAAAACATACTGGAAAAGACTTCTAAAACCAGACTGCTAAAAAACTTCCTAACACTTGCATTATTGAGAAAGTAAAAAAAGCATCAGATGTAAGGGCTTGGAAACAAGTTTTCCACTTTGTACCATTTTTAAGAGAACTGTATCACCTAAACTGTTACCATGTGCTTCATCTTTCTAACTTAATATACCCATTCTGCTTTTAATAAAACATTCCTGTCTTCTCTTTCTGTAATGCAATAGATGTTATTTTCAGAAGGTGACTTTGCAAATAGCTAAAACTGCAAGAAAAAGATGACCTTGAAACTGCAACATGCCTATGCCCTGATCAATACAGGGGTAAAGCTACATGTATCTAATTTAACCACATAGGTAGTTTTAACTCACCAGGAATACAGTTAAGGCAGAAATAGAAGTTGGCATGATTCCCAGTCAGAACTTTGACAATTGCTGAATTGACAGTGAACTTCCCTTTCTCCTTCCCACTGCTCCTAAAGCACTGTACAGTTTTTAATAAGCAAGTTTACATTACAACACTTAATGTTTTGCCACTTTTTGTAGACTTAATGTGTTCTGCTGCTGAATTTAACAAAGAAAAATAAAAGCTAGGCCAGACACTAAGAATTTACCAATCCCACTCTCCTCTCCTGATGAGACCTTAAGACTAGACTGTTCTAGGTATAGCTGATATATATGTTTACTTTGGCTGAGCAACAGAGATGTCTAGATGTCCCTTTTCATGTTCTCCAACCTAAAAAGAAGTTTTTCAAATATCTTTTTGGGAGAGTTGACCTTTTATCCTTTGCTTTGACAGCTGACAGAAACAAGTGACATTTTCTAAAAATACATGAAAAGTTGTTACAGTGTTGTCTCAGTTGTCTTTTTCTGGTCTAGAAAGACCTATTTTTAAACACTTTCTTCATAGAACAATGCTGTTGAGATGTTCTAAAATCATGCAAGACTCTCCAAAGTGCCTTCATGCAAGGATGTCTAATTTTTTTATTCCCTATCCCACACCCTGGATGGAATCTTATCAGCACCAAACAAAAGGTAACAGTCACCATTCTACCTAAAAATGTTGTGAATTAATAGATTCAAAACAAAATACGTCTCTGATCCGTGTAAGTCAGTATTTCTCTATTATGTGACTGCTTATCTGGGTATTCTATATTTTAGTTTCACTCTTTCTAAAGTACATAATTTTACAGAATAATCTATTGATGGTTTTGCAAACAGGAAAAAAAACGAACCTACAACAAAACCAGCCTTAATTTTAACCTTGTCCTTCAAAGAACTCGAAAATTCCTTCAGCTTGGTGTCCTCCACAAAATTATGAACATGTAATATGCATTATATGACTCAAATTGTAATCGAAGCTGTTGTGTAAATAAAAGGCTCAATAGAGACTTCATCTGAAATACCCTCCCAAAATCAACACTGAACAACAGAGTAGTTTTAAACCCCTTTTTGAACAAATTCTGGTGAATACATCTACATGACACTAGAATTACCTTTTCAAATAAAGAAATCTTCATGTTTGTCAAAGATGAACCCCACCAAAGCAAATAAGCTGCTTTTTCCTACATGTAAGTGTAATCTCTATTCCAGAACCCCTCTTTAGCATGAACTTGGACTAACTCATCTTTGCCTCCTTGTGCTGTTCTTTGTTGATATGAAGATCTTTAAGACTTAAAATATTTATATTGAGAAGTCCTAAAAGAGATAACTGTCTACAGTTAAAAGATTACTTCGGGTTGTTCATAGCATGAAATCTCATTAGCTGGTTTTAATTAGTTGCCAGAAGTTCATGTCTTTAAATAATGTGTCTTTTTAAAAATTGTTTTTATCTTCATGGAATATGAAAATAAAATGTAATGCACACCAAGAGAAAAAAAACACCCAACCAATAAACATATCCCATAGACCAAAACAAATCATAAACACAAAAACCGATTTGCCAATGAAGTATGAAGGAGAATAACAACCCTTTTTATTGGCAACAATAGGCTTTAATTCTGTAAATTAGCATGGCAATTTGATACAGACACATTTAGCCAAGTTTTATAATACTGAACAATGTTGTAATCTCTCATTCAACTTTAAAATTATAGGGAAGCTATAAGAAAAAATACCACAGCCCTTGCTTCAGACTTTTCACTTAAAAAGAAAAAAAAAAACAACTTAGAAAAAGGCTGAGTCAATGCAAAGACAAGCGCCATTAAGGGATTGTTCCATTTCATGCGCTTCATTTGACACATTCGACCTAACTTAAAACATCGACAAAACAATGAAAGTGTGCAGATAACTCTGGCCAGCAGTTACTTTTACACATCCATGGTGCAATATTAAATTATCTCTCTCTTTAAAAGGCACATTTCTTTGATCACTGTAAAATTCAGTTTTTGTGGTTCATCAATATATGAAAATGAAGAAGCACTCAGTAAAACAATTGTACTGTGCTTGTGCTTCAACAACACAGCTGTAATGGAAGACTCCACTCCACAAAACATACAGTGAAGCTATCAAGGTACAGGGCAGAACCTGAAGACTAACAAGTGGGAGATGACAGTCTAACAATGATTAATTCAAGTCAGCCATTTATCCTAAGAATATGTCCTGTGCTGAGGTTATTATTGCTGTTGCAGGTAAGATGAAGAGTGTAAAAATAAAACTTTTTATCAGTGGTACACATCAGAGTTGAAACTGCAAGTTAATCCCAGACATCACCTTTTATATTAACCAGTTTTAGATGACCTCTCAAAATTTATAAACGATGTAACTAATAAAATTTGTCACAAAATTGGTATGCAAGCTTAGTGCTGAGACTGAAAAACTTACCATGAAATTGGTATGCAAGTTTTAGTTCTAAAACCGGGCACATAGAAATCCAATTCAATCTAAAAAATGCACTGTGTAAATACATCATATTAGTATTTGTACTGTTAATTGCTAGTTCAGATCCAACTGGGCTTACAAGGAACTGCTACGGTTTCAGTTTTCAAACATGTCATTTGTACCCAGGTCCCGTGATTCTCCATGGTTTAAGAGGAAGAAGTCATCTTTTTTCAAGCCGTATCTTTCAAGAGCTTCATTCAGTTTAACCGGAGGATCTAAGTAATACTGGAAAAAATGAGAATAATATGAGGGAAAAGATACCACTGCAACATTTTGGGGATGGGGGGGGGAAATCACTGCTCTAAAAAATGGGGGGAGGAGGAAGATGAGGATATTTGTCAAAACGTTTGGGTTCATTTTAAGTTTTTAAATGCTAAGAATGCTGATTTATAGCTGCAGAGTAACTAGCAAGGCACAGCCTGTCCTCCACAATTCATTCGCCTTCAGTGTATTAACAGATCCCTTCGGAGGAAGCGCTGTCCGGCCAGCAGCTGGCGCTTTCTCTCGCTCAGTAAACCCAAGGTGTCAGCGGTCCTGTCTGAACTCTTGGGCACTGCCACTGCGGCCCCCTCAAGTTACCGCGTTGTACTTGCTAAATTTCAGAAAAGGCACCATCAGGGAGAAATCACCTACTTTTTGCGCTTCTAAATACACAGTAACATTTGTACCGTGGGCACAAGTGACACAGTTTATTGGAAACACTGTGGACAGGAAAGGTTCTGTCCAAGTGTCCTCACTACGTTCCCTGTCTGGCAACTCTTTTTGCTCTGCCAGGGAGGAGGTGCACAAGGAGCTGGAAGGGACAGAACATATGACATATCAGGTGATCACAGTATCAGGAAGGAATCAGAAGATAAAGCGGTGATACAAGGACAAAGTTGAAAAACGGCTACCAAACAATATCAAAGCAGAAGCAGATACTTCCCATTCACTGCATTTTTAGTTGCTGTGAGAGTACCTGGGTAACCTTCTTATTAGAACTGGGGACTTAAAGAGGGGAAGAAGGGAATAAAAAAAAAAAAAATAAAAAAAAAAAAATCAGTAACTCAGTAACTCAATTTTTCATATCCTTGCTGATATTTAACTCTGAATCAACTATTAAAAATACTATTCAATTTATTTACTAGACAAGTATGATTAATAAATACTGTACTGACCTACAGGCATGAAGTTCTTACTATCTCCAAGTGATGCACTGCCGAGTCTGCTTTTATTACTGCATACGTGTCCCCACCTATTATGTTCCTCAGCTTTTGGATATCAGAAATTCTCCACATTTGTTTCAATAACTCTGTACTTTCTTAACCGTGGAAATATTTTATGTAATTAGTTATGAAAAGCTAAGCATTGTTTTGAACAGTATATGGAGTAACAACTTGTCACCCATACAAAGGTCACATTTTAAGTTTACATTTACAGATATGTAGGTTAAACTGCACAAGCAAAGCTTCACTAATGACCGCGTAGTACTTGAAAATCTGAACTCATGTAATAGTGTTGCAATTTACCTCATTTGCTAAAGCAAAGGTCCCCCAATGAATTGCTACAGACTTCTTTGCTTGAACATCAATATGGATTCTTACTGCTTCTTCAGGATCCACATGCTGGTATTTCATAAACCACCTACCAAAACAGAAAGTAACATTTTTTTGTGTCACCTAATCCAGTGCAAGATTTCTTCTTTACTTTCATTGGGTAAGTTGCCAAGAGAAAAAAAAAAATATATATATAGTCACCTAATCAAAAAAATCATGAGCATGTAGACCTCAACAACATACAGAACACTCAGAACCAAGAAACTAACATATACCAACATGCCCATGAAATGGCAGTTCATGTATTGCACTCCCTTTTTCAAAGGGTTTTTTCTTACCTATATTTTCAATATCATAAGGACATATTACTGGTGCCTTGAGGCATTAAGGCCAAAAATTTAAATCTATCCCTGAAAAAATTTCATGCTAGCAGCGCACACCAAGGAGTGTGTGCTTCAGAAATAGCTCAAGGGAATGGTGGTAAGGGAGAAAGGAGAACCTGGCAATTCTTGAAAGATACCAGATTTTTACCTTTCTATTCAGTCTTATCTTCCTTTCCCAGACCATATAGACTTCCCTTCCAGCATTATAAGAGCACTATCATCTAGAAGTTTAGATAACCCATCATAAGTAGGATAGAGATGCCTAAACAAACAGATCTTTCACACTCTATAAGTGAGTCATCTTTATCTCCAGATAAGTTGCAAAACCAGCATAAAGCCCGAAGCAAGAGAAAAATGCAGCAAATGGCATGCATCTGAATGGGTTAGATTAAACTATGCTGTTTCAGGAGAAAAAAAAAAGAAAAAAATCACAGAGTAATTCCAGATTTTTACTCAACATCTTTCATGGAAGAAAGACTGCCAATTCATCCTGGCTGTGCTTAACACTGAAGGAAAAACTCTCCGAAAACATCACACATACACAGACAGGCATCCTGGACATTTCAGTTCCATTTTCTAATTGCCTGCTTTTTTATTTTTTTTTTTTTCATTCAGCAACATCCCTTGCCCTCAGCAATTTCCTTCTTTTGCCTCTATATTCAATTGTATATTCTTAATAAAGCACACCTACAGTTTTAACTTCTCAGTGTATTTTTTGCCATCAGTAAATAATTTCATTTACGTATTTTGATCAAACTTTGATTTTCATACCTTGGCTCATAAGCTCCAATGGGGATGGCTGCCAGATCGAAAGGTCCAAACCTTTTACCTATCTGTTCAAAAGCTAAACAATATCCAGTATCTCCTGCAAAGAAAAACCTATTCCAAGGACCCAAGACAGACCAGCTGCCCCAGAGAACCTTGTTATCATCTCTCACAGTCCTTTTGCACCAATGTTGCGAAGGGGTGAAGACAAAAGTCACGGCGTCATGCCCAGGGACACAGTTCTCTTCCCACCAGTCCAGTTCAATGACATTCTCACAGCCACATCTCTGCATCCACTGCAGGAGCCCCAGCGGCACAAACCATCGCAGCTCGCTCCCAAAGCGTTCGTTCAGACTCGTCACAGTGTTGTAGTCCAAGTGATCGTAGTGGGTGTGGCTGATCAACACTGCATCTATTTTGGGGAGCTGCGCCACTGTGCACGGAGGCCTTCGGAAGCGCTTGGGACCCATCAGTTGACTGGGGGATGCTCGCTGGCTGAAGATTGGGTCAGTAAGAAGTACAAGTTCGTCCATTTCCACCATGACTGTGGCATGTCCCAGCCATGTGACTCGCATACCAGCTCCTGTCTTCCCAGCAAGTTCTGGCTTTTGAACAAAGTAAGGTTCCAACACTGGAAGCTCTTTATCGAGTTCCTAGCAAAAAAGAACACAATATGCATGAGAAATTTCAGAATGTGCTTGGCCATGGAACAAAAACTGCATACAAGGCACAAATCAATAGAGTCAAGACTTGTACTTTGATTATGTTTTTATGCAATCAGAGAACTGCAGCACAAAATAGATGCCTTTTTAATGGCCATTTTCCCAGCTACTGCCTCCTAATTTCATTTTAGGTTTTTGCAACATTTACGCTTCTCTGTTGAGAGAATATCCTATCAGACCTACTGAGACAGACTGAGAATATTGCAGTGAAAGCACTGCAAGGCACTAACAGCATCCTGAGAAGGGCTTTGCCAATGGCTGGCCTTCCCTGACCTGAAAAAGAACATATATATATATATATACACACACAGTTACTTAACAAATGCTGAAGTTTAGCTTGTGCAACTAAATGATGCATCCTCCAAGTCCTAGCACAAATAAGCCACAGATGAAAGAGAATACCATGTTCCCAACAGCTCTCCGAAAAAGCTCTGTTAGCCTTTATCAGACCCTCTCTCTCTCCCCATTACGTCCAGTAGCAGCACATAGAGGTTAACCTCACCTGGCTAATGTCACCTTTTACAATTCCGTCTTCCCATGCTGCCAATAATTCAATGAACATTCATAAAACACAAAATCATTTTTAAGGAAAACCTTAAGGTACTTAGCTATGTTGCTTCTGATGTTTTACAGAAGCCTTTAAAGTAATTAAAGTTTAATTATTACTGAATAAATCACTATACTGATCTCCCTGCGTGTTCAGGACGCAGCCTCATAACTGACTTGAAATCAGCCTAAATCCAGTCTCCTGTGTAACATTCTCCTCTCTTGTTCCAGCATGAACAATTATGCAGTCTCCACTCAAGTCTGACAGGTCAGAGAACTGATCTGGCTGAACGCTAATGCAGAGGAGAAAAATAGACAGCTTTCATCTCAGTTGGCTCAGATTTGGCTCTGTGTGTAGCCTCAAGTTGGCACAAAGGAGTCCAAGGCTGTACATTACCTATTGAAACCCATCACCCAACCAACCACCCATTCTCTCATTCTGAAACAGAGTTACTCTCTTCACTGCAGTTTGGTTGAGATGTTTATGCAGAAGTTTTATGTGTAATAACAATAGTTTTCCTATTAAAAACCCTGAAGAGTCTTCTCAGAGCTTCTGATCACCTCCAGCTTGCCCACAATGTGGCTATGGCTCTCCTCCCAAACAGTTCTGAACTCCTCATGTTGCTTTAGAAGAATTTTTGTGTGTCAGGCAGCTTCTACAGACTGCTGACACTTCTTTCCCTGGTAATCACAAATGTCCCAGCACTTCTGGTTCCTAGTCGAGTTCTCCCTGCGATGGTTGCTGCTCTTATTCTCTCAGCCTAGCACAGATTAGCACTATCAGTGAGTTTAGACAGAGCTGACCTTGTGCTCTCTTAAAAGTCCAGCTGATGCTGTGACAGTTTAGGACTCCAGGAGCTGCCTTGCTAAAACAGTCCTGACACCTTCAGGGGAGTTACTTTCTCCACAATATTTTATTGATTTGAAAGGCATACGTTGGAAAAAACAAAGCACACACATCTCCACCCCCCTGCAATTCTACTGTAAATAATAAAATATTCATGAAATTGCTTTTTCTGAGAGCTAATGGACGAGACATGTCTACTGAAAAAGTTTCATTACTGTCTACAGCAATGAGAAATACATAACCTTCTATAAAGCCGAATATAAGGTTACTACAATACAACCACTAAATCATACAAGAAAAGTAGTGGGCTTAGACTGAGATACATGGCTGCTTCTCCAAGAAAGAAGCATCACTTTCTTATCTCTATTTCATTCTAAGCACATGGGAATGACAGTGGCCACAGAAATTTGAACCACAGAGAGTGTTACATTGTGACACTTCGATTCAAAAAAAAAAGTGGAAGATGCACAAAACTAACACAATACTCAAAAATGGAAATTCGGAAAAACCAACAAATTAAACGTGGTTAAGCCAACAAATCAGAATATATCAAAGAAATTAAACTCAGATACGGAATTTAGTAATTAATCGTCATAATGCAATTTAGGTCAGTAAGTACATTTTTTATGGAAAATCTTCTTTTTACATAGCAGGTTTTAGAGTTAGACTATTTTCTGAGAACTAAATTAATTCACCTTATTTTTGCTGACATTTGATACAAATTAGTTTTTAAAATTAGCATCGTGGAATATTAATAAACAATGCTAAATGGATGAAGAACTGGCCAATTAGCAGACATGAACAGTTAGTTCTTAACTAGGACTCAAACATATTGTACTAGTTTTCGCTGGGATAGAGTTAATTTTCTTCCAGTATCTCCTATGGTGCTATGTTTTGGATTTGTGCTAAAAAGTGTTGAGAGCAGACTGATGTTTTACTATTGCTGAACAGTGTTTACACAGCAGCAAAGCCAGTTGACTGGGGGTGCACAAGAAGCTGGGAGGGGACACAGTTGGGACAACTGACCCCAGCTCAGAGATATCCCAGACCATAGGACATTGCACTCAGCAATAAAATCTGGGGGAAGAAGGAGCAAGGGGGGACATTCAGACTGATGGCATTTGTCTTTGCAACTAACTGTTACATGAGACACAGCCCTGCTTTCCTGGGGATGGCTGAACACCTGCCTGCCCATGGGAAGTGAATTAATTTCTTACTTGGCTTGTACATGCAGTTTTTGCTTTACCTATTAAACTGTCTTTATCTCAACCCACAAGTTCTTTCATTTTTGCCCTTCCAATTCCTCTGGGGTGCAAGTGGTGTGGGGGGTGTAAGTGAGCAGCTGACTGGAGCTTGGCTGCCTACTGGGGTAAAACCACAACACCCCTGCACTATTAACTACCTACTGGGGTAGGCACCCAGAACACTTCTACGCTATCAATAAAGGCTTTACAGGGATGTCACTAGGATTGATGCTATTAAGTATTTCAAATGGTTCATTAAAGGTAGAACTAATCGCTATAAAAGGCATTTATAAAGGTCACACAGACAGGAAGATTGATAAATAGAGAGGAACACAGTTCAAATGACTGCTTTCTTGGCCTATTCACATGAAATTCTGTGAACAAAAGTTTAAGACAAACCAAGAACACAAAGGCAGTGTAACTTGCAGATCTCATACAGAGCTCGTGCTTTCCAGGCCTCTGATCCAAATCAATGATTCCTCAGAGGATGAGATCAGAAATCAGGCAGGTTGTTGAGCTACCATAGTAAATCGCACCAGGAAATAGCCAAAAAAATTAATTCTCAGCGCATGGGGTTTGTGTTTGGGGTTGTTTGGGTTTTTTTCGGTATTTTACAAAAGTGCACTAAAATCACCTTTTAAAGCAATAAGAACTCATTACTCAACTCATAAGATTTCATACTAAAACACAAGTCCTATTATCAGCATACTTCACATGAAATTCTTAAAACTTAGACTTACACAACAAGATAAAACAACATAATGAACAAAATACAGAATCTTAGGGAACTTTTAACCTGCTTTGTTCTCAATGTCAGACTAATCAGAAACATATCAATACTAGAAGAATTATAACAGATCTTTGAAACATGGCATTAATGTCAAATCAGCTACTGACAGAAGCAAAGTGTGCTTAATACTGTCTTATCTTCATCACTGAAGTAATACGGAAACTCTTCTTGCTGTGTCCCTTCCCCCCTCCCACGTTCTTCTTTTCTTCCTAATGCAAAGCAAGAAGAAACACATGACAGGCTTTGGTAAGACTAACTGATTAGCTTAGGATTTTTGGTGCTTAGTGCATGCTGGAATACCACGGGATTTTTGCAGAAATGAGAACAATCTAAATTGTTGATCTAACAACTAATAATTAAAGATCCTCCAATAGAACTGAACAAAGTTATTAATAAAGCCTGTAATGAAAATACAAGAAGTCTATGCATTCTGGATAATGATATAAGCTTGTTGTGAAGGCATGATTATAATACATATAGCTTTTCCACGGTGAAGTACAAATATATATCCTGGATAATATGCTTTTTTTTACATATGCAAACAGTTTGGTACAGATAAACTGAACCTGCACAGCATAGGAGGATATCACTAGGCACACTCAACATGGAAACTGAAGCAGGAGTCTGCTTGAAGGACATACTATCTAGCAGTGCTAAATAAAGTTTGGAGCCCTTAGTTTGAATTTCAAACAAGCTCAGATGTGCTTTACAGGATGATTTAGGTGTGGAACAAAACTGGTTGGAACAAGCATCAAAATGGCTGAGGACTCCAGAAGTGCATTTCATTGATCCCTATCAAGGTCTTCCTATTTCTGATTTACTGAGCTCCTGAATAATTGCAGGGACTTAATTAAAAATTGTCATATGCAAACAATAAAATTAGTCCAAAATTAATCTCAGCTGGGTCAGAGAGACAGCTTTTCAACTGGTGCTTTGCAGATTTCTTTGTGATCATCCTTTATTGTAGGGACAAACTGTAAATTAAAGGGGAGTGCTGCAGTTCTCCAGTGCCATCAGAGTGCTGCGTGTCCTGCACTCCATAGTACACCTCAGCATTGCCTTCTGGGGATGTCAGTCACAAACCAGGTTTCTGGCTGGTGCTGGGAAGACACGAAGCCTTGTACACGTATCAAGTAGGGCAGAGGTCAATGCAACTGAAAATGTCAAGGTGTGAATTTTATGCAAAAGTTGCCAGCACACTCTAGAAAGCTGTACACACTGAGGAACTGCTCTCACCATTACAAGGTGCAGATCATCAAATTTAAAAAAAATAAAGTGCTGAAGGGATCCCAAGACCGACACAGGTTTGCCGTGCTTGTTTCTGAAGTCAAATTATTTGTTGTTATTATTATTATAGAAGAATTACAGCCAAGATTATTTCTTCCTTAAATATGTTCCATGCCACATATCCTTAAAGACATCCCCAAACCTCTGACCATCATGTGTTAATGAGTAACACAGCTTTTCTGTCCATAAAACCAATTGAATTCCTTCCTTCACAGATAATTCACATAAGATAAAATTGAAAGCTCTTTACTAAATACCGACTGAGATTTATAGCCTACGCATACCTTCTTAAAAGCATTAACATCTGCCTGTTAACAAATGCTGTCCCTGGTTGTGCACCTTTCAGCACAGCTTTTCTGAAGTGCAGTCAACACATCAGAAACACACTAAGAAGTAATCCTGTCAAAACTGTAGTCATCTTCACACTTCCTGTGGCCACAAAGAGAACCATGGCTTTCCAGTATCCATTACTCTTCATGGAAAAGAAGCTTCTCTCAGAGGTCGCTTCTCCTGTCTCCTTCTTTATACACAACATCTGACAAAAGCAACACACCAAGAACAAATAACGACATTTCACAGTAAACTGGCAGCGTACTTTAAGTGTTTCAGTACAAATATTTCCTAAGGTTAGTTTTAACATATGCAATTTTTTCTCCTGGTGTACTGAAATAGAAAAAACAGAGATTTGCCAACACTTTCATAGGTGACAGCAACTACTTATTAAATTTTCATGAAAAAGGTGTAATGTATATATTAAATGGCAGTCTGGAATAAAAAGGCAAAACTTTTAGAATTAGATATGCCACAGCTATTTCATGCAACAAGAATCATGTTAGTAATATGCTTCCTAAGGCAATACCTATTAGAAAGGAAAGGCCGTAACTATGGTTTATGACTGAGCTAGGAGGCCATTTTTGTTGTTTTTAGAAATATAAACTGAGCTGGATAAATCAAAGGCAGTGGAACTAACAGAAAGGAGACAAAAATTAAAGAGATAGAAAGTATTAACCCATCTTTTGAAAATAATGAAGTGATAATAAAATCAGAAAAGTAAAATTTACAAAAACCTCCAAAAGATGCCTAATGAGGATTGGTTAGAAATTGTCCTATTTTATTGATTAGAGGTAAAAGCAGCCAAAATCATGAAAAGAAAACATGCAAGTATTTACCTCTGAGCCTGGCACATTGCTGTTATTTTTTTCCATGAGGGACCATTTCAAAACATTTGGCAAGGTTGGCGATTTCCACGTTGGCCATGGGTTGGCAAATCTCCCATCTTTGCCTCTCTTTGATTTAGTTACATCCTCTTCTAACCTGTAGTCCAGCCTGAAGCTTTTTCTGAAGGTCTTGGAAGAATCACTGCCCCCGGAACCACGGCCCGAGTTCTGACGTTTCTTGACTGCTTCTTTAGGGTACTGGTTACACGCAGTTGAAGGCTGCTCTTCATCTGTGTTCTTATCCATATCTTTTTCAGAAGAACTAAAATAAATTTTTAATTAATCAATATTTTCTTGGACTAACATCAACATTCGTAAGACTGAGTGTTCTCACACACATTAGAAACAAGCCTCTCGTTTTATGATCTACTCTATTTTTTTAATCAACAAAATATGCCTTTAAAACAGTCACTGTTACACAGAAGCCTTCAAAAACATGCTGTGGCAAGCAGACATGAGATCTCTTTGTAGTTCAGGCTGAATTTTACTCCCTGGAATGCACAGCTTCAGATACTAAAACTATTATCTACCAACTGCAAAAGGGAGGGGAAGGGTTCCTTAATTTACATTTTGGAAGAATAGTAATTCCTATTGAAACTTATGACATTCAGTGCCTGATGTAATACGATCCTGCAAATCTGTCCAAGAGACACTGGAACTATACAGTACCTTGGGATTTGCCAATATAGTGGCTTTATTTTGTAGTAAGAGCAGCAGCCTCACGTAGCGTTACCAACACTTTACTTATACCGACAAGAGGCACATACATGCAGGAAAGTCAGAACACAAAAGATATTTGGCACTATTTCCTATTTTGTCTAAAACAAAGGAAAAGCTTATTGTAATAAAGGTAAATGTAACAATTTCAAATACAATTCTGATACACATTTAACTGAACTGACTGGTGAAAGGCCACAGGAAATTGAAACATCTCAAATCAGGGCCGCAATGTTTATTCTTAATTCCGAAATATAAAAATGTAGGAAAATAACTTAGAAAAGCTTATTTCTATGAAGTCACAATTCTGGCACATTTCTTAAAAAACTGTGAACTCAGTAGTCAGAATCTCTTATTCCAAACTGCACTTAAGTGTTGCAGAGTTTAGGAATACAATCTCATTGTATCCAAGGTAGAAAAAACAAATATCCCTATCTTATTTTAAAAGTTGCTGAAGCAAGCCAGTTGAAACTAAATGCTTCAATTTCTCTATTTACTTTCAACTGAAATGTGGAAAGTAAATACACTGGTCTGACAGCCTTAGAAAAAACAAACAAAAACCCCACAAAACTCAACCAAACAAAACAATAAAAACAAACAAACAAACCCAAAAAACAGTTGCTGTTTTTTAAAGAGTGCACAGTTTTCCAGTACTTACAAACTCTACCTGGTAAAAACTAGATAACCAGTAGTTGAAGAGACAGCACGATTTACAGCTGTGGTGCAGGAATAATTTTTAATAAAAAATTGTGATGTTTGTCCTGTGGAAAACTCTCCATCACATGTTTTAGCCTATCTACGGTTTCACTAATTCAGATACTCAAACTGCAGCTGTACACTCAGAAGCACTGGGCTGATGTATCAAAGCCAGTCCACTCAAACAATGCTGTCAGAGAACAGAATTAAAGCCCACAGTTTTCTCAGGAATCATATAACTCACTGTGCCCTTCACAAGCCCATAATTACAGGGAAAACGAAATATATTGTTCTCTACAACCTTTCAGCTAAGATATTGCACACGTGTAAGAAGTGTTACCAAATTGAACCCAAATGCATTTACGGGTGATGCTCCAACTTCAAATGCAGTCTGTTCCCGCTATTTTAGCAGCAACTGAACTGCAACACTAAGTACAGTATCAGTTGCAAAGATATGACAATTGATAAATACAGTGAAATTTTCTTAACAAAATTACCATTATTTTACCATACAGCAGAGATAAAATATTAACACATCAAAATTCACTTCTGATAAAGAAGCATGAACAACATTCAGAAAACACTGCTGATAGAATTTTTGATACCCCTGGTCATAATCTTGTTTTACGTAATTGCTTTGTACTCCAGTTTCCCTGTAGTTTTACTGAAACTACTCCATTTATGTATTTTCTGTATAGCATTAAGATACCACATATATATAGAGAGAGAGCATTAAGATACCACATATATATATCATATATACATATATAGCATTAAGATATCGCATCTGCATCATAATTTAAATGTAACTGTTTATAGTTTTAGGCTTTTTTTCCTCTATTCCACTAAACATTTACTGGAATCAGCCTTCAATGAAACTGACACTCAACTTGCTCTATAGCATTTTAATCAGATATAAATGGTATTAAAAAGAATCAGTGCCACTAAAAGGCAGACAGAATACCCCAAAAAATTCTAATGGATATTTTAACTATTACTTTAACTAAAGAGGGTTGGGTTTGGGTATTTTGTTTGGTATTCCTCAAAGAGCATTCTCAATGCCAAGTCAGCTTATTAATTTAGCAAAGCACGCAGACACAGCATAAAACATCCACTCTTCCAGAAAGCATCATGAAAACAAATCACAGAAGTTTAATCATGTAGGTACTTAATTCCAGGAAATTCATCTGTTAATATCTCAGATGTTTGATTTTTTAAATATATATAACTACTGTAATTATTGTTGCTACAAGACATTTTATATTAGAGACCGGAGTGCCTAAGGTTTTATTTTTAAGCTTCTGTTTATCTATTCATTTAATCTCTAAAATAGGTGAATTCTACTTTTGCTTAGATTTTCATATAAACCTTTGATCTTATTCTGAAAGTATAAACCTCTAGGGGAAGCAGGGATCAACTATGCTGATTAAACAAAGACAATGCCAAAGCATTTAAGGCTCTGCAGGTATCTATGTGTCTGCCAACATATTTTCCACATGATGCACATACATTACTTTCATTAGTATTCCATAAGCCACTCAAGGGATAAAAGACCTCAGTGCTCACAGAATACTTTAAAACTTTTACGTGCATAAGAAAGGGACACATTTACAAACAATTAACTCAAAGTATCCCTGCTGAACTGTAGATTCCTTTGAAGTACCAATCTTGCCAGTTCATTTCTATTTAGTTTAAACTGGTAAAATATATCCTAGAATATTCATGACATACAGTAAAAGAAATCTAAGTTTTCTTATTAAAAAACCCATAGATGATAATTTCTTGACAACCAGAAGTCATTAGCCTAAAATAAAACTCAACCAACTCTTAGTCCAAGGAGATTCTTACACTTCTGCAAAAAGAAGCCTCTACGGATAAGGAGATCTGGCAGGTATATTTTAAATATTAGAAAATACGCAATCAGAAATTCTTTTTCTGCCAGCTTTCCTGAATTCTCCTCCCCCGAAAAATAATAGTTTGGCACTTGAGAAACTAATTCAAGGACTTGAATGGCAGCAAAAATTATGAGCTATAGAAACAACAAAATCAAACTGGAATAGAATCGCGTTCACTTGGGAGGGACAGAGGGAAGAGGTCACATCCTTGGTGAATATTTATTGTTAATAATGTTCTACAAGAAATCTTTTATTTTCCATACTTTTAAAAAGAAAGAAAAACTCCTGTTCTACTTAAAGGCATTAAACTGCTTTCCTAACACAAATGGAGCCCATCCTTCAGGATGAGGTGGCTTACCCCCAACCAAGGGCATTTGTAAGAGGGGCTCAGGCAAGACACAGGGCCACCACCCTCTCTGTGCTTAGAGATTCTTTGCTCTTTCAACTGAATTTAGAAAAGAATATGGACCAAGACATACAAACTCCTAAAGGAGTCATGCCAAATGCACAAGGCCAGGAGGTTTTCTAGACACGAACAGCACCACAGGCTGATGAATCGGACGAAGCCCAACATGAATCAAAACGCAGAGCTCACGTAACTGGTTTTCCAGTTATGTTTTCCAAACACTAAGGCACTCGTGGTAATCCACAAAGCAAGAGAGAAGTTGTAGATCAGGCAGGACATGGCATGGAAAACCCATGTCTCATGCCCCACTAAACCAGCTTACACCTGTAAACAGGATATAGCACTTAGGACAACAGGTTTGGGGTAGAATGGTTATTTCAGCATTTCTGAAATAACTGATATAACTGAAAACTTGGATACAAATATTTTAGCCCTGAGGTTTCTGTTTATTTAGAAAAATAATAAAAATTTAACTAAACATTTTAATACTTTCTGTTCCAAGAGAAAGTTGGAAACAGGGCACAATAACATTACAAGAAGCACTCTGCCATTGAAATTTTTCTTTTTAAATGGTCTTCTGAACAGAGCAGAGCTTCAAGCCAAATTACTTGAACTTTATTTGAATACAAAATGCATCGGCATAAAATCTATTGTGTTTTCACCTTTTCCATCCAGTCTCCTCTAACATCTGCTACTCCATAAATTACATGGATGTAGTTTCCCCTACTACCTATAGAGCCAAGCACAGACACGCTACTAAGCATGAAGTCTGCCAAAACAGATTTATCATTCTTTTCTACACACAAATGTGGTCCCTATTTAATAAATCCATAAGCCAGAAAGTCAAAGAGTTACTATGAAGCTCTGATTTACTGGAATCCAACAACATCCCCAAAACTTTACAATTGCCTTGCAAACATTCCACAGCTTTGCAAATATCTTTATTTTTTTGCCATTTTTGAAGCAAAAGGCTTAGTTCATTTTTAATCGCTGTCTCTCTGTGTAGACCACATCCAGAACTGGGCTGCACTACACAATTCCCAGCAAACTCACACCACTGTAGCCTTACCAGCACAAGACTGAGCTTTCTGAAAGCCATATACAGCTATAGAACTTAAAAATTTTCTTTCAATATACATATTTTTACTAACTGCAAAAAACTCATGCATTTTGGCTTGAAACAAAAAAGTTATTTCAGCTAAAAGGAAAGCTATTTGCAAACACTAGGGAGCATGTAAGTAATTGGCTCCTGCAAGCTCTACTATCAAATGACTGCCAGCTAAGTTTTGGCTGTGCTTTTATTTTTCCTACAGGTCTGAAATTGGCTGCTTTAATTAATGAACAGTCTGAAACTGGAAAATTCTGAATGCATTTAAACTTTTATTGTGCAGTACTTCAGGCTGTTCCATCATACCACTGCAGATTTTGCAAAGCAAGAAGCTGAGCCTTCTGCAAACTGTACACTGCTACACATCTTGGAAGTTTTCTTTCACTATGCATATTTTTATGGCTGTAGCAGCAGTTGCACCATCAATTATTCCAGTTGCT